GTCCCAGGGGCCTGTAAATCATTCACCTTGGCCACCTCCCTGCCATGTCCCTCTCTTGCAACCACCTTGCCCTTCCTCCCTAGGTTGGGGGGGGGAGGGGGCCACAGGTGTTCACAAAAGTTTACCAGGGAGGACAGAGGCTTGAGCTCTGTCCAGGGCTAAGGGGGAACCCAGGGCTCCTGGCTGTCACTGAAAATACAGTGTCCCAGGATGGGGAGGGACTCACAAGGCCCCACCCCTGGCTGAGGAGCTATTGGCACTCTGTGACTGCTGGGGAAAGGAGAGTCATTTTTCTTTGGTGTGGCCACTGGTACGTTACCCACACTCCGTCAGATGACCCCACACCCATGCAAACAGCACTAGGTGGATTCTGGGTCAGAGGGGAAGGGGCGGATGAAGGTAGTTGGGAAGGGGAAGGGGAAGGGGAAGGGAAAGGGGACTCCTAGGGGGTAGCTGGAGGAAGGCATAGGGGCGGATATGGTCAAAATCCATTAAACACATGTATGAAATTCTCAAAGAATAAGTAAAGCTACTTTAAGAGCATAGAGTTCAGGGGTTGGGAGCGCAGCTCCACAGAGTGCTGCTGTCTTAGCATGTACAGCACCTGGGTTTGGGTTCCAGCACCACTGCATAAATCAGGTGCTGTGTAACACCTCTATTCTAGTACTTGGAGGTGGAAACAGGAGGATCCGGAGTTTAAAGTCATCTCCCACTGCACAGTGGGTTCAAGACTAGCTTGGGCTGGAGACCCTATCTTTAAAATAAGTAAATAAAATAAAATAAAAATTTAAGACCCAGGTCTGGGGATGCAGGCCTGTAGCCCTACCACAAGGGGCCAAGGTAAAGAAGCTTACAACTTCGAAAACTGCCTGAACTGCAAAGTGAATTAAGGGTTCACCTAGGAAACTCTATCTCAGAGTTTAAAAAGGGCTGGAGAGATGTATGCTCGTGGTCAAACGCTTGTCTGTTATGGATGAAGACCTGGAGTCAACCTCCAGTTACACACACACACACACACACACACACACACACACACACACACACACACACGCACACACGCACACACGCACACGCACGCACACACACGCACACACGTACACACACACGCACACACACACGCACGCACGCACACACACGCACATATGCTTGTGCATGCACAAACATGTACAAATAATGCAATGGACATTTGAACACAGTAAAACTTGAAGCCCTCTAAAATCGCTCTCCTCCCTCTGGCTTTCCACCTCCAGCTGCCTTCCTGGAGAAGGAAGCTTCTGGCAGGCTTTTTAAGTTTTTAAATTTTTTTTTTGTTTTTTTCAAGACAGGGTTTCCCTGCATAGCTTTGGAACCTGTCCTGGAACTAGCTCTTGTAGACCAGACTGGTCTCTAACTCACAGAGATCCGCCTGCCTCTGCCTCCTGAGTGTTGGGATTAAAGGCTTGCACCACCACCTCCTGGCACAGTTTTTTAAAATTTTCATGTATTTTTGTGTGTATGGGTGTGTGTGCCTGCGTGTGTGCGTGCGTGCGTGCGTGTGTGTGTGTGTGCGTGCGTGCGTGCGTGCGTGCGTGCGTGCGTGCGTGCGTGCGTGCGTGTGTGTGTGTGTGTGTGTGTGTGTGTGTGTGTGTGTCTTGCTGCCTCATACACATCTTAACAGTTGCTCGGTGCTCCTCTCCACGGATATTCCATATCCATGTCCGTGTCCATATCCATATGGTCGCTAGCTCCCTGCTCATAGGCATGGACATTGTGTTTAGTCTTGTGCTATTAGTAGCATTCACTGCTGTGGGCAGTTGTCTGTGAGGTTATTTCTTAGGAGTGGAGCTTATGGCCAAGGCTCTGGGCACGTAAAGCCAAGCTACCCGATGCTTAGTTGACTACTAGGAGGGTACTCTAGTTAGTGCTCACTCTGGACAATATGTGGGAGTCCCTGGTTTCTGGTCCATACAGGGAATCGAACGTGGTCATTGTCAGGTGTTTTCTTAGCAATCAGTCTGTACATTTGAAGCAGCTGGGCTAGATAGAGGTTGGCCAGGAGGTTCCTAATCCTATCAATCCCTCTCCAGGACTATGGACTCGGGTTCCCCAGACTCTGGTGGGGACAGAGGTGCTGCAGTGCCGCCAGCACACTGCCCTTGTCTGGTGCCCAATCTGGAGATCTTGGTTCATGTCATCGCCAGGCTGATGACCTTAGTGAGAGCAGCTTCTGTGTCCTGGCTCCCAGCTGTAAGGGACTGTTGTGGGTCCCTGCTGTTCACCACAAGGGGACAGGGCAGGGAGAGGGGAAAGACAGAGAGAGGGTGAGCAAGCTAGCTACTAAGAGAACAGCTGCCTCCGTGACTGGACCAGGCCTCTTGCACATAGAGCCCGACTGCTTCCCCTTGGAGACAGCCGGGAGTCTTCCTGGCATTTTAGAGTTCCAGTCCAAGTCCATCAACCCCAGCCAGCCCAGGCGTGCCAGTCTGCTCTTGCCACCGTCTGACCCTCCATTCCAGGGAACGGACAAAGAGGCGTGGTCTGCTCTGTGAGCTTCTGATGCCAACACTTAGGATATTGGGCAGCTCGGTGGTACCTAAGAATGGGGAGATGGGGAGCTGTGCATTGGAGGCAGCAGAGAGCTCTAGACTAGAGGAACCTACTTATCCTCTTGAGACCCTGACTCTGCAGGGAGGTTGGACTAGCAGGAATATCCAACCTTTTCACATTTTTGCATTAAGTGGTAACCTAAAGATGTGTAGGGCTGTACTCATAGCTCTGGTAAACACTGTGACCCACAGCAGCAATTGGACATGCCTGGAAGAACTCACAGGCCTCTTAGTTAGACCTCCAGCAGCCATGTGACCACCTTAAACCATGGCCTCTTCATCTGAAGCTGGCAAGAGACTGAAATCCCAGGATGCCTTCTGGCTCTAGCTTGCAACCCCAGTGGGCTGTGGGTTCAGAGCCCAGCTAGGCTGTGGTGGTTTCAGCCTCAGGCAGAGCTGTTTCTGAGCCAAAGTTGACTTTTCTAGGTCAAGGAGGAACCCCATTTGGAGCCAAGGCCTCAGCAGGCTCTGCCTCAGCCCCTGCTCTAACCATGCCTGGCACCGGACCGCAGGCTGTCCTGAGCCATGTCTCCGCTGTCGGGTGGCACTGTGAGCTTGGTGCATGTGGGAGTGACCGGTGTGGCTCTGCCACTCTAGTAGAAAACCCAGGGAGAAGCCGCCTAGGAACAGCTGTTGTCTCCCGTTCCCCCACAGAACCACTTGGCTGGAGAAGAGCCAGGGTCTGTCCTGCCAAGTCATGTGGGACGATGGGTGGAGGTGGGCCAGATGCAGGTCTTTAGTGCAGGGGCATGGGGGGACAGGCATAGCCAAGGCACAGAGCAGGGAGGCAAAGGCCAGGCTCTTTGTGGGCATGCGGGTGGCGGAGGGGATCCAGGATTATCCCAGGATCGGGCGTGCCCTGGTGTGTGCTTGTCTGCTCTCGGCATGCCCCTTCTAGTTTAGCTTCTTACAGAGAAAGCTGGTGTTCATCCAGGCTCCTGACAGTAATATTCTCCCCAGACAGCCCTCCACGTTCAGCTCCAAAGGGAACCCTGATGTTAATAACCTCAGACAACCCTTAAGTCCAGCTGCTGGCCCAGGCAGCACCATCTAAAAGCCAAGCCACCACCCTCTTGGCCTGGGACACGGCAGTCCTTCCTGTGCATCTTATTCCTGCCCCCCGGTCTACTCTCCACACAGCAGCCAGAAAAACATGGTAGCCTGCAGCAGACTGCATGTCCCCTCTGCTTAGAGCCAGAAAAACATGGTAGCCTGCAGCAGACTGCATGTCCCCTCTGCTTAGAGCCAGAAAAACACGGTAGCCTGCAGCAGACTGCATGTCCCCTCTGCTTAGAGCCAGAAAAACATGGTAGCCTGCAGCAGACTGCATGTCCCCTCTGCTTAGAGCCAGACAAACACGGTAGCCTGCAGCAGACTGCATGTCCCCTCTGCTGAGAGCCAGAAAAACATGGCAGACTGCATGTCCCCTGTGTTTAGAGCCTGGCGGTGGTTCCCATTCCAGACAGAGTAAAACCTAAGCCTCGCTTCCCCTTGGCATCTGCCCCTCTGCTCCTCACACATCCTCAGACATGCCCCCACCTCAGGGCCTTTGCGCTCCTGTTCTCTCTGCCAGATTCCCTTCCTCTGGACAGCCCGCATGATCTCACGCTTCCCCTCTCTCTCGTGAGACTCCAAGAGCCATCGTGTTGAATGCTTGGCTTTTTCTTTTCTCTTTTCTCTTGAAACAGGGGTCCCACGATGTTCCCTAGGCTGCTCTTGAATTGCTAGATCCCAGTGGCCCAGCGGCGTAGCTGGGATTACAGGTGGCTGCCCCTTACTCAGCTAGTGTCACTCTGAATTTCCCGCACCTCCCACCACCAACTTCTTAGGCTCCCTGCCTTCTTTCTTTTCCTCGAAATAATCGCCAGTGAACAAAGCCGATGCTTCCATTTTTAGTTTCTTTTTGTCTGCCTCCTTCCTGTAGCATCCAAGCAGGGACTTCCCCTTGTTTTCTCTGCCCACCCCAGTGTGTGGCTTGAGGCAGGGACTTGGTTGTCTCGTGGAATGAGCGGTGACACTGCTGTTCTGTGCCTGGACATAGGAGGAGCGTGGACAGCTACGGTAGATCGGCCCCTGGCACAACCCTAGACCAGGGCCTGATGTCCTGTATGTCCTGGGTACCCAGCACCCTAGGGCCCAATAGCAGCCCTGGGGCTTTCTGTCTTTGGGCTATCAGTCAGTAAAACTGGGGCCCCCAGCCCAGGGCACTTCCAAATCGTGTTTTCTCCACCACTGCATCTTCCCCGCAGCCTCCCTTACCCCCAGTCTACCCTCATTAGCCAGCTGTCCCCTCCATGACACTGGTGTTCAGACTCACACTCTGAGGACCCTTGAGCCAAACCATCTGGGGCCTCCTGGGCCTTTGGGGGTGCTCTGCTGCAGTCACCTTCCCTCATTGCCCCTTCTGCTCCTCAGGTAAGACTCGGACCAAGGACAAGTACCGTGTGGTCTACACAGACCACCAGCGCCTGGAACTGGAAAAGGAGTTTCACTACAGCCGGTACATCACCATCCGGCGCAAGTCAGAGTTGGCTGCTAATTTGGGGCTCACAGAGCGACAGGTATGTAGGTCTTTCACCTCAGCTTAAGTAGCAGGACCCAGAGTTGGGCTTTCAGGATGCCATGAAGATACAGGGCTCACAAAAAGAGAACAGAGAACAGAGAGGTTGTCTCCTGACTACTGGCACTGCGCCACACACTGGGCGACTGTCAACATCGCTACATGCATGTGTGTGTGTGCATGCACATAAGCACACGCGTGTTTGGGCACCCACACACACAAACACACACAGAGAGGCTACAATGGACAGTAGTGTTATTCAATGCTATTCAGACGCAGACAAAGGGTTGTCACAGGACACAGGGGCTCTGGAGTAACCAGGCCTTGGAAGGGGGAAGAAGGTTACCGAGAAAAGTGTCTAGGGCACAAGGAGAATGTGTTTCAGTCCCTGAGGTGGGTAGCTGGAGCAGGAAGCGGACCATGAAGACCACCCACCTCCCCTATCCCAGCTCCCTCCTAACACTTGCTTCATAAAGTCTGTGCAATCCCACAGGTAAAAATCTGGTTCCAGAACCGTCGAGCCAAGGAGCGCAAAGTGAACAAGAAGAAACAGCAGCAGCAGCAGCAGCTGCCTCCCTCACAGCTGCCCCTGCCCCTGGATGACAACCCCACATCATCAGGGCCACCCCTGGCTAGTCTATGCCCCACCAATGCTGGTCTCCTGGGCACCCCCTCCCCAGTGCCCGTCAAGGAGGAGTTTCTACCCTAAACCCTCCCAGCTTGGGGCCCAGGGATCTAGGGACTTGAATGCTGGGCACCTGGCCTTGCTGAAGCCCAAGAAGCCTGTTCTGAGTTCCAGCCCTGCTGCTGACCTTTGGGGTCACTGTGGAGAGATTGCCTACCTAGGACAAATTGCTTGCCAGCTCCCTGCCTCCCTTGGCTGGACTGTGTGATGCGCCTGTTGGACAAGGACCTCTTCTAGATCCTGTGTCCTAGGCCGTAGAGTGATGGGGGAGCCTCAGCAAGAGGTCTCAGTCACCTGGAGATATCGCAAGATCCAGAGGGCTCAACATGGTGTCAAGACAAGGCTGAGGCTCCATCTCCTTCTCCAGGGCTCCAGAGGGAGGCAGGAGACTGCTGCGTGGACCAGACTGGTCTACACTGGTCTGTGTAGAGAGAAGGTGGTTCCCATGGGTCTAGACTCACCTGTGGAGTGTACGGATGATGCCGGCCCCACCTGTTTCCTCCTACAGCCTCATCTCCATTCGTCCTAGCACCCTATGTCTGTCCCTCCCCAGCCTGGAGGGACAAAGCCATCAGAACTGGACCTGAGGTAAAGGCTGGGCAACTGGTCACTGCTCTTGACCCCTCCCTAGCACTCCATGAAGGCCTGTGGATGGAAGGGAAGCCTCTCAGGGTAGACTCAGACAGTCTACCACCTACCTGCTCATGCTCACCTCCTCCCCACAGGCTGTCTGTCCATCTCACCTCGGGAACCCCACAGACCACAGACCACAGGGAACTCACATCTGGACAGGGCTTACATAGAGTGGAGTCTCTGGGAAGCTCACATCTGGACATGGGTTACCTAGAGTGGAGTCTCTTGAATGCAGGTTCAGGAATAAGATTTTCCCCTTTAAACAATTTATAAAATCATACATAGCATTAAAGGAATTTTTTAAAGTTTCATCACCATTATCCTATCTTCATGATTGTGTGTCTCCTTTGCGTTCTCCATTTCCCCCGACACAGTCACCTTTAAAACACGGCGGATCAAACGGGACCCTGCCAAGACAGGCTGAGGCTGAAGGAGCGCCAGTCTTTGGGTGACCGCTCCAGAACCTACCCATCAGCCTTCCAGTCCTCCTGGCGCTTTTGCTTCAGGCTTCTCTTTTAGCATTGTCATCCACACCGCACACCACGTACCAGACATGGCAGTGCCTGGGATGCACACAGCCCTTTCCCCCCAAGAAGTGCCTGGCCAAGCGGGAAGGTGCCACAGGCATAGTGGTGCTAATATAAAAAGATAAGGGCCAGTCAGAACTTTGCTCCGGACACGGCAGGAACCAGCGCGCCTGGAGATGGAACACAGAGCAGGCTCCCTGCTCATCGGGTAGGGAGGTGGTACCTGAACTAAGGGACGGCAGCGAGGGGAACATGGAGGGTTTCTTAAGCAGAGAGATGCTGTTGTTGCCTTCTTCCCAGAGGTGGGCAGAAGTGAGCTGCCTGGGGCCTTCTCTGCCCAGAGGGCTCTGGTGCCAGCTGCTTGCCCCTCTGTTTACTGTTCTGGGAGGTGGCTAGGTCATAAAAAGTGTGTTCAGCCAGCCTGCCTTCGCCCTTTGCTCCTGGGCCCGGGATAACAGCGCACAGGTGTTTCCAGCAAAACCGGACCCTTCTCTCCTCCTGCTGTCCACTGGGGAGACAGCAGGGCCTCTCTGTAGCAGTTGACATCTGAGCCACAGGAACCAGAAGAGCGGAGTAGGGAGAGGCTGGTAGCTAGCATCGAGTTTAGCTTTCTGATCCGCATGACCCTAGGGTAACTACTTCCCACTCTGAGCCTTCATTTCCTGCTGCATTCCAGTTGTTTTGGGTGTAAATGGAATTTATGGAGCAAATGCTTTTAATTACTGAGCCCTTTGACTGGCCAGGCTGACCTGAAACTCACCATGTAGTCTACCCTGGCCTTGAATGCATGGTGATCCTACCTTAGCCTCCAATGCTGGGATTGCAAAAGTGAGCTAATGCTCTGCCAATGTTCCTCATGCTTCAAACCCAGGAAACCAACCGCAGCACCTGTGACCCCCCCCCACACACACACATAAGGAAGGAAGTTCTAGAAGCTTGGGGCTGAAGACCCATGCCCTCTCCATGACTGAGCGGAGCATCAGGTTTTGGAGTTAAGTGTGATGGTTAGGTGAAACACACTGGGTTCCAGTGTGACAGCCTCCGTGTTATGAGACGTGGAATCTGGGGTGCTTAGCCTCTCTGGGCCTCCCGGTCTGTCAATGGGAGCTATAGTGGCTATAGCCCAGGAGTACAGGCCCAGTCCATGCTTTGCACCTTACTTGAGATGCTTGCACGTCTGCCTGCAGCCCCAGCCACTGTAACCCTGAAGTCAGCTGGCGGCGTGAGGAGATGAGACCCTGGCTCTAGAAGACCTCTGCCCAACAGGCAGTGGGGCCGCAGTAGTCACTCACACGGGAGCTCAGGAGGTTGGGTGTTGATGACGTCCATTGGCATTTAAACTCCATGATGAAGGGGGCATTGCCTGTCTACGTTTACAAGCACGTTACAGTCTTCCTGTCACCTACAAACATTCCACTGGAGGTCTGGGGATATAGCTTAGGTGACAGAGATGCACGAAACTCTGGGTTCAACCTCCAGGACTGTGAAACACTGGGTCTGGTGGCACATGCCTGTAACCCCAGCACTTGCATAGTGGAGGCAGGAAGATCAAAAACTCAAGCTCGTCCTTGGTTACATAGTAAGTTCAAGGCCAGCCTGGACTACCTGATACCCTGTCGAGAAAAAAAAAGTTTCCAGGAGAGGTTGAGGCGCAGCAGTGACTAAGGAAAGAGACCTTCTCAGGTTGCATCAGACCCTGCAGGCACCCCAGAGATGGAGGTGTCTCAGCTATAGTCTAGGGACAGCAGGTGCTGTTTTGTACAGGGAAGCTGTACATACCCCTCTTCTGGGTGGCAGGCCTGAGCTGCTACTGGGGATTTAGGACCCAATAGTAGACCTGGCTTGGCCTGGTCCTCTAAGGCACAGAATTTGGTCAGGAGCACCAGCAAATGAGAACAGAACACGGCAACACTGTTTTGTAGTTTCCTTGGATCCGTAGAACCCTAGCTCCATGCCGAGAACCCTTGTCCTGTGGAAGAACTAAGCCACTGTCAATCGCCAGAAGTTTGAGGGAGCTATCAGGCACCAGGAATGCTCTGAAGAGAGACTCCAGGTTGGAAGCTCAGGGCCTTGGAAGAGGCGGGCTCCAGCAGCTGAGGGGGCGTGCATGCGGGGCAGCAGAAGCTTGGAGGTCATCTTCAGTGTCTGAGAAAAACAGCCTGGTCCCGGGGTGGGAGACACAGACTGGCAGCCCACCAGAGTGGCCCCGGAGGGCAATCCCAGCCTGTGGGCCTGTTCTAGAAGGGCATCCTCCTCACTGCAGCAGATGGACCGGCAGTCTGCAGCCTCGTTTTTCCACAGTCACCCCTCCAAACACATGTGCTGTGGTGGCAAAATCCGAACGTTTGGGGAATTAAAAATGTTTATTTATATGCATTTAAAAATATCTCCCTATATAATAAAGGAAGTACGTTTTCATCTCACACTCTCCTTAAGTCAACACACATCTCCATTTCACTTCTGGCTTGTGGTGAGAGCAGGAGAGGAAGGGACGGGGAAGGAAGGGAAGAGGAAGAGCAGTTAAGGAATCACAGCACTCAAGCTCCTCCGGACTGGGGACAGGGACTAGTCGAGCATGTCTGGTTATTGAACCCTTGGTTATTGCATGCTTGCAAACTTGGGGCTGGGGGGGGGGAATGACCGACTGGGCAACATCTGCCAGACAATCTTAGTGTTTTTCTTTTTTCCTACCCAAGGCTGGTGACAGGGAGATGGTGGCAGAGAGGTGATCCGTAGGCTCACATCCGATATTCCATGGCTCTGCCCCAGGCTAAGTGATGGTTTTTTTTTTTTTTTGAGACCAGGTTTCTCGGTAGCCCAGACTGACCTCAAACTCACAGAGATCCACCTGTCTCTGCTTCCTGAGTGCTAGGATTAAAGGTATGAGCCACCACTGCCAGGCAACTCTAAAGTATGGACCCAGCCCACCTGCACACCATACACTCAGCGACTGTAACCAAAGCTGGGTGGTCATCATACTCGCTCAAGGAAGGCTAAGTTTCAGTCTGGTCCCTGTCCACCAACCAGGTGCTGCTGTGCCAGGACCAGAAAGAAGCCAGTCTTCTGGGATCCAAAGTCAGATGCCCCACCCTAGCCCCTGTTCCCAAGGTCCTCTGGACCTTCCAAAGACCTGGCAGTTTCCAATGTCAAAGGGAGAGTAGGAGGAAGGAGGGGGGCCTGCATGAGTCTCCTTCCTGAGCCCCAGGCCTCTGCTCCTCTCCGGGCAGGGCCATAGGCTTATTCCTAAAGCCTCAGATTCTCTGAGGTCTTGGGCACATGACTTTCTCTGACAAAGTTTCCTTGTGTATACAATTTGATCTCACATACCAGCTTTCTGGGGCTGTTGGGGAGAATTAATTACTGAATACTGGACATGAGCATCTATCATAACAGAGCAGGGCTCAGGAAATGCCCTTTGCCCATCTTGACCTCCTGAGGTTCCTAGGGGCAGAGCAGCTGGGGGAAGCCTTGACTGACTAGACTCTGGTAGGAGTAGCTTAGGGCCTGGGGAGGTGGGCCCTCCACCCTGCTCAGGAACTCTGGAGCCCTCTCCCGAAACCCCAGAGGTCAGAGTAGACCCTATCCTGCCGTCTTCCGAAGGCCTCCCCCATGCGGACAGCAAGTGTGTGGATGGTAAATGTCTAAAGGGCCTCCTTTAGCAGGCGGGGATTTGGCATGTCTGTTTTCCCAGAGTGGTCCACCCCAGCAAACTAGTGCACCGGCTGCTCAGTTACTCCAGCTACCATTTCTCCATCCTAGCAGAAAGCTCGAAAGATGCCCGGGTAGTCGGATTGCTCAGCCAGGTACCTGCTGGTGGGTGGCCCTTGTCACAGACAAAAATGTGTGGCCCTGAGGCCCCAGTGCTGGTAGACAGGAACTTGGTTTACCAATCCATCACAAGCCACCACAACATGGCAACACTCACCTGTCCCTTCTCCTCTACATCTCCCAATTGCACTTTCTCACCCCAAGAAAAGGAGTAGAGCTGAGGGCCACTATGTCTGTGGGAAGTCTGTGAAGTCTGACCCTGTCGTTGATGTGTGGTCCTGAGCAACTAACTTACCTGTCCTTTAGTATCCTCATCTGTGAAATGGACGGACTAACACCGGCCTCTCTAGGTTGAGACAATGAGATGTGGCCCAGGATCATGTTAAGGTACTGGATAAGTCCTGATAGGACAATTGGCTGATGGCTGAGTGAGCAACAGTCAGTTAGGGGCAAGCCAGAGCTGAGTGCCGACTGTGAGGCAGCTCCATGCTGGTTGCTTTCTGTTTGGCCTCCCTGAATTCCTTACCCCTCCAGTAAAGTGACATAAGGTAACGAGGTTACCCAGTAAGAAACTTAAGGTCATCAGCAATGAAGATGTATGTGGTCGGGCACTGGAATCCCATACACGAATATTAGGTTCAGGAGCACTCTGCCTGCGCCTCTGCTCGCCCAACTAACGAAAGGGAGGCCCAGAGAAGGCAGTCACTTGCCCAAGGTCACGCAGGAGACGGTAGCTGCGGCCGATGGTTTCTGTCACTCACCCCCCTCCCCACCCGCCCGGGCGGCTCCAATCCGCATCTCTGCGTGCGGGGGCGCGCGCATCCCCCAGCCGCCGTCTGTCCGTCATTGGACCTGTCTGGGTGTCTCCCCGGCGCAGGGCGCTGAGGAGGGAGAGGCAGGGCGTTCGCAGCGCCCCACGCCCGCAGCGGCCTCACGGCAGCGCCTGCGCCCTCCCCAGCCCGTGCGCGGGAGCCGCGGGGGCAAAGGCGCGGCGGTAGGACCAGCGCTCGCTCGGCACCCGCCTCGCTGGCTCTCAGCGCTCCTACAAGCGCCAGCTCCAGCTCTCCGAGATGAAGAAGCTCCAGGGAGCTCACCTCCGCAAGGTAGGGCACGAGGGCGGAGCGCACCTGAGCGAGGCTGGGAGGATCGACGGGCCCAAGGGATGACCCCCGCTGTCAGGGCTAGAGAACCTCCTCCCAAGATGGATTACGGGCAGGGGCGGGATCACGATCTCCCCTGGCGGGTCGGGGTGTATGTAGTGCGAGGGTCCAGATTCACGGTGTCCCGACCTGCAAACAGGTGTCTGCAGCCCCAGGGGGCGCGGATGGGTGGCTGGGGTCAGATACGCCCCCCCCCTCCAGTACTCCGTCTGTTCTACCAGGGCCTGACAAGGTGGGGGCGTTAAAAGCTAAAGGGCTCCGCTGGGGTCTCGCCCTGGCCTCTCTCGGGCACGCTATACCCACGGGCCTCTGTCAGCCTCCAGGGGACCCACTTCAGTCCTCAGGACTCGGCCCTGAGGGCCAGGCCCGTCCGTCCGCCGCCTCCCTGTCTCTTCTCACTGCAGTCCTCCCTTTCCTGCTGAGCAGCCCTCTCCCCCGCGGAGACCCCAGGCAGGGCACGGGCAGGGGCGAGCGAGGCAGGAACCTAAGAATGGCAGGTGGAGGAGCGGTGGAGACGTCAGGCAGACCTCAATCTCCCCACCTGGCCATGCTGGACCTCCCGATTGTTTGGGGGAGAGGGGGTGCTGAGGTAAGTTTTCTGGCTTTAGAGTGTCAGCCTTACTGGACAGGCGAAGAGAACTCCTGAGTACTGTTTCCAAAGCTGCCACTTGCTGGCGACTGGTCAGGTCCATTCTCCAACCTTCCATCTCTGGTGTGGAGAAAACAGCCCCTCACCCACTGGACTGTGTGAGATGCAGGGACGCTATGAGCTGGAAGGGGCAGCTACACAGGAGAAGACCTCAGAGGGACTGGTTACTGTCATCACCTCCCTCTCTCTCTCTCTCTCTCTCTCTCTCTCTCTCTCTCTCTCTCTCTCTCTCTCTCTCTCTCTCTCTCTCTCTCTCCCTCTCTCTCTCTCTCTCTCTCTCTCTCACACACACACACCCCAAACACACATACACACACCACACACATAAATACACACACACTCTCACACACACACCACACACATAAACACACACACACTCACACACACACACCTTCATTCACCATTTCTGTCCTTATACTCCCAGGCCTGGGGACACTGGGGTAGTTGGGTCTTTTCCATTGGCTGGCAGGAGTCACTTCTTGAAGCCGGTTGTGGTCTCTTGGATTCCACTGGGTCTTGTCCCCATCCCCCTAGGATTCTCTCTCTACTGTCCCTTCCCACAAGAATCCCAGCCCCTCTCTGTCCCAGCCATGTGGTAGGAAGCTCCTGCTGAGTGCCACATAGGAGCCTCCACAGCCTCTTCCCCTTGAGCCAGCCCAGCCCATTTTACAGGCATGGCAACTGAGGCACGAAAGCAAGTGCTTCCTCCGTGACTTACCTGGAAGCAGAAGCTACCTAGAACAAGCAGAGCAGGCTGGTGTGCTCCCCCACCAGTGTCTCAGAGGGAAGAGGGCTCCATGAGCAAAGCCAAGAGGCAGGAGATCTGCGTCTGGCTGGGCTGGGGTGGGACCTGGTCTTGGGAGTGCTCTGTCTGCCCTTGACTGTCATTGGCCTTGGGCCCCTCCCTCCCTTTCCTCTCTGGAGCTCTGTTTCCCCGCAGTGAAGTGGGGTCCAGGGATGCCTTTTATCTTTCTAGGAAGGTAGATGACCCCCCCCAGCCTCGACAGTCTGCCTTCTCCTGACCCCTGGGGGTGGGGACCCATGTCTGTTGGTCCCTAAAGAGAGGGTGTGGGTGCGTGCTCAGAAGAGTGTGCCCGCAGGATCCAGAGTAGGGCCTGGGAGCTCCCCACCAGGTGGAAGTGGAAACCGGGCCAGGTCGGTTCGGGCCCTGCTCCATTCACTTGGCTGCTGGCCGCTGCTTCTGGACCAGCCCCAAAGCCTCCTGGGTTTCACCTGACTGTGAGGCTAGGCCTCCATGTGGGTTCCTGATTGGCTCATCTCTGGGGGACCCCCATCCTCTGGCCCTGGAACAGGAGCAAGCTTCCTTCTGATTGGGGGAGGTGGGAGACGAGTTGGCAGCCTCCTGCTCTTAGAACTCTTGTCGCCATGGAAACAGATCGGACTGTTTCCGTGAGTGCTGCGGGAAGGGCAGTGTCTCTGAGGGGATCAGAGGAGCCTCATTACGGGGACCTCCTGTCAGCTGCCCTGAAAGGGACAGAGTGTCTCTGGGTGAGAGGCCTACTCTGCAACCTAGTGGCAAGGGTCATGTCAGATGCCTGCCACCGACTCTCCCTTAGAGTTCCTGTAAAAGCCTGAGGGTCTCCAAAGGCCGGTTCTCACAACTAGAGAGGCCGCTTTAGGGGCGGGGAGGGGGAAGGAAGCTCAGCGAAGCCTGGGAGTTGCTGCCACCCTTGCCACGGCATGTCCTAGGCCACAGCGGAAAACCACCACTTCCAGTGTTTTGATCTCAGTTTTAAAACACCTTTCTTCATTTCGTCCGTCAACATCGCCCACGCCCCTGACACCACTGCCTCGCCACAGACAGGATTGCTGCCATGGCCACACTACTGTCACTGAGTCAACCCAACACTGTAATTCCAGTGCAGCCACAGGATTCACTGCCCAGCCTGACCCTGCAGCAGACATCTCCAGCTGGTGACACCTGATTCCCCTCCGTTGTCCAGCCGGGGACAGAAGCCAGGGCTGGTCTGCGAAGACCGATGCTCTACCCCAGAGCCACACCCCGCCCTCCTTTCCTCGTCTTGATCCTAGTGATGCTTGTGTGGCCGGTACCTAGTGGGGCCTCCTGTCACTACCTGTTTTGGGTGGAAGGAAGCTCTTCTGGTCAGTGGCTTGGATCTGAGCCCCTGAAGAGGTCTTAGCTGGACCCCAGTCACTGTGAGCCTCTAGCTAAGACCTCTAAGCAGAAGGTTCCCTGATGCTGTCTAGACTCACACCTCTGAAGGTACCAGCGCTTGAGACCCTTTCCTTAAAGAGAAATTAGGAATATTGCATTCTAGTCCCTATTTGGAGTGGCCTGGCCGTTAAATGAGCTGTCTAATCCTGCAGGTGTACATTTTAGATTGTGTTAACCCAGAATTTGACTGGAGAATTCTTCCACAGAATGCCTATGAGCATCTGAAACAATAATCTACCCAATCTCCACACTGCCTAAATGGGGAAACTAAGACTCAGAACACTATGGTCACACAGTGTATTTAGCATAGACCATGGGCCAGAGTCGGTGGCCTGGTTCCCAGGATTTCCCAGGATAGAAAGCTGAGGGAAGGGGCTTTTCTCCTCCAGTGATACATACCATGGCTGGAAATTTACCAGTTGGCCTCCTTATATTTCCATTCTCTTGGGCACTAGGGAATTTCAGAAACCAGCAGGTAAGGTGGGCCGCCATCTTCTGACCCATTCCCATGTCCTTTCCTGGGAGTTGCTCTCTGAATTTCAGGTGGTTCTCCCGGAACCTCCAAGCTTCCTTCAGGTACCAAAGCCAGAGTAAGTCACAAGCAGGGCAACATGCGATCTTTGAGGCCAGGATCTCAAGCATCTGGAGCTGACCTCCGCCTCTTAGCCCCAGCCACAGGGAGAATGCCCAGGGGACCTCTCTGACCACAGTGAATCATGGAAGGAGATGGTCAGGACAGCTGGCCTCATTCTCTTCTCCACTTTCCTCTCCATTAATGATAGCTGGACTCTGATTTTCTGAGACAAAGCAGAAGAGGTTTCTTTCTGAGTGCTAGGCAAAACCCACAGTCCCTGCTAGGCTCTCCGAGCCGCAGACAGCTCCCTTCCTCTGGGAACCCCCATTCCCTCAAGTCCTCTGCCTCCTGGACCAAAGGCACCCTGGTTTCTTCCTCTGTCCCCCTGGACACCTTTCAGCCTACCCGCCTGTCCTTGGGTGTGCTCCTCACTGTCCCCACACCCAGATAGATATAATCTCCCGGCATCATGAGTGCTGGGTGCCAGACGTGGTTCTCCTAACAGCCAGGCAGGCAAAAGTCTCAGGTAGGTCATGACCCCTCCTGGAGCCTCTTGGCTTGGAGCTGAGTGTGGATGAACCGTCGGCTCAGGAGATGAGAGTAGAATATTTAGTGCTGTGATCACTAACCCACAGTGACAGTCACAAAGATCATCATTGGCAGTGATATTAAAATCGGATCATCCTTGGCCTGCTTCTGCTAGCCAAGATGAGGCCAGGCAGCTTCCTAAGGCCTAAGTCACCCTGCTAGTGTCTGAAGATCTCCGAGCTAGAGCCTCTAGATCCAGGTGAAGCCACTTGATTAGCTGAACTGATAGAGCATTTCCCACTCAGCCTTGTCCAATTCCACAGTCTTGGCTTGGGTTCTCAGTTCCATCCTGGCCTCACCCTCTCTCCTTTGTTCTCTCTTACTGGCAGCCTGTCACCCCAGACCTGCTGATGACTCCCAGTGACCAGGGCGATGTGGACTTGGATGTGGACTTTGCAGCAGACAGGGGCAACTGGACGGGCAAGCTGGACTTTTTGCTGTCCTGTATCGGCTACTGTGTGGGCTTGGGCAATGTCTGGCGGTTTCCCTACCGAGCCTACACCAATGGAGGCGGTATGGGCCTGGGGACCTCGTGGGAGTAGCTGGGGAGACAGACCAAGGCTTGGGGTGACCTTTGAAGTGAACTTAGGCTAGGAGGGAGCTTGCGCTGCTGTCCCTATTCATCACCAAGCCCCCTCCTCCCACCTTGCCATCCCCAGGACGGCATCCACGTTTCCTGCCTGAGGCCTTATGCTTCCCAGGCCCTTTGGTGGGCAGAAGGAGCTGCCCACTTGCCCAGAGTGGGTGTAAAGTGTGGTACCCACTGTCACTACGCATAGGCTTTGCATTGTCTCCTGTTCCCCTCCCACAACTCCTCCAAGGCCCTGCCCCATCCACCATTCCCTTTCTGGAATCTTCAGCATTCCCTTCTCTCCTGGTTTTTTCCATTCAGATTGCAAGCATGAGATCTATGCTATTTTACAAGCAATTAACTCCCTTTGTCCTTGATTCTCCATCAAGTTAGCATTCTTTAAGCCTCACCAACAAAGGCTAGGGTTAAGTACACCACCCATTATGTCCTGGACTTACTGCCTGCCTGGTGCCCTGATAACAGCCCTTCTAGGTAAGTACCTTAGAAATGCAGAGGTAGCTGGTTCTCTGTCCAAGGTCACATGGTGCAGACTCAGCCTTCCGACTGTCTTCTCCAGGGCTGCATGCTCTTGCTGTATTTCCAACTCCCTCACCCAAACTTGTTAAGAAGTGTGTGTTAGCCAGGTGGTGGTGGCGCACGCCTTTAATCCCAGCACTCGAGAGGCAGAGGCAGGCGGATCTCTGTGAGTTCAAGGCCAGGCTGGACCGACAGCCTCCAAAACAATACAGAGAAACTCTGTCTCATAAAACCAAAAAAAAAAAAAAAAAAAAAAAAAAAGAAGTGTATGTTGGCAGAGAGAAATCCAGGTAACACTAGAGCATGCAAAATCGTGAGCCCACCGCCAGCCTCCAAGTCTTTGGGAGTCTCCTCTCTCCCACTTCATGCTTCTCTATTCTTTATGTATGCTGACCTCACTTTTTCCTCAGACAGGCAGCCCTCGTCCATGAAGTTGGAGTGGGGATCCTAGAGATAGACACTTCTACTCGGTTCTGGAGGGTTTAGCCCCCCAGAGCCTCTTAGAAGATCACCCGAATGAATCCATATATAGAATTGCAAGGAAAGTGATCAGTGTGACTTGGGATATTTACCCACATCTCTTCAGGAGGGAGGGCAGAGGGCTAGCTGTTTGACTACAGCCCTCCCAGAGCCAGCTGGTGGTAGGCAGCTGTCTGAAGGAGGTGGCTGTCTATGTGTGAAGTTTGGGGGGGGCAGGCCCAGGAAACTGCAGGGCCCAGGAAATCTCAGGTGTCAGCCAGAGCATCTGAGGCAGCATTCATGAGGAAGGGACCACTGGAGCCAGATTCTGGAGCTGTAGAACTGGCACCCTCTGGAAGATAACTCATTCATCCACTCTTCATGCCTTCATTCATGCAGCAGGTGTTTCTGGAGCGCCTGCTCTGTGCCTAGCCACTCGTGGGCTCTCGAGCTACAAAGCGTGTAAATCCCCACTAGCTCCCCCAACCTCAGTGACCCTTGGGAGAAGTGCTCCATCTGCCTGCAGTGGGTGGTAGATGGCTGCTGTCAAGGATCAGTCAGTATGGAGCCGTGGGGGCTGGTCCACCTGAATCCCACCACCATCTGCTACCTCTCTGCAGGAGCCTTCCTTGTTCCCTACTTCCTCATGCTGGCCATCTGTGGCATCCCCCTCTTCTTTCTTGAGCTCTCTCTGGGCCAGTTCTCCAGCCTGGGACCCCTGGCTGTCTGGAAAATCAGCCCCCTCTTCAAAGGTAAGGCCACAGTGGCCCCTGGCCGGGTTGAGCCATCAGGGACCCTGCTCCGGGACTCCATCGGGGAGGTGATGCTGTCCCTCCCCTGCTCCAGGTGCCGGTGCGGCCATGCTGCTCATCGTAGGCCTGGTGGCCATCTACTACAACATGATCATCGCCTACGTCCTCTTCTACCTCTTCGCCTCCCTCACCAGCGACCTGCCCTGGGAGCACTGTGGCAACTGGTGGAACACTGAGCGCTGCCTGGAGCACAGAGGCCCCAAGGAGGGCAACGGGGCGCTGCCCCTTAACCTCAGCAGCACTGTCAGCCCCAGTGAGGAGTACTGGAGGTGAGCCTGACGGGGGTAGCCCGAGGAGGGGCAGGAGGCGGGGTGCTGTGCTGGCCTGCGGAGGACACAGGAGTTTGAGCCTGGCTCCTTACCTAGCCAGCTACTCTTAGAACAGGACAGCTGTAGTAAATTATTCGGGAGGCGGTTGTGCGGGCTGGAGGAAAGGATGCATGGGGTCTAGCTCCAGGGTGAGGGGCTTAGTAAGTGTCCACTTGTTAATGAGAGTGGTGTCTATTGTCAGAGTCTCGGCTTCTTCCACTGTCGTAGTGGGGGTAATAACCATCCCTGCTTCATAGGACATTTAGTCATTCACTCGCGTATTTATCTTTTGGATAAGCATTTATTGAGCTACTATGTCAGTTTGGTAAAGCACGTAACATAGAGCCAGGGCCTTACGAAGACAGAACCATCTGAGAGCAGTGTAAGAGCAGCGGTGAGATTGAAGTTTGCCTGGGAGGCTTAAACACGGCAGCATAGATAAAACGGTCATTGCAGTGCCAGGTACTCATGAGCCCTGGAGTGGTGGCCTCAGGAAGACATTGTGGCTCACCAGCCTATCCTAGCTGAGAAACGAGGGCCAGAGGTTTGCTCACTAGCAGCGATGGTGACACTAAGGGTTCCTGACTCTCCGTCTTGTTCCGGGATATTCTAGAGTACCCCAGTCTCTGGATGAATATTCTCATTCTGCCCCTGCAAAGGGTTTCCCCAATAGGTTCGTGTCTTGAAATGCTCCCTCTCCCAAATTCCTTGGCCTGTGCAGTCCAGGCCAGCCAGAGGGCCTGTATCTGCTAAAGCGTGACCTATGAGTTTCAGTGTGCCATGCAACACTTAAGAACTTGACATGGTCTCTGTGGCAATACCAAGGCTGATCACATTAGGTATAGGCAGTGGACAAAATGCCTGATGGCACTGCCAGAAGGGTTAATTGAAGGGAGTTTAATAAAAAGGCTTTGTAGAGGGTCAAGGAACCCGCATGGAAAGGTAGGGCACCAGAGCCAGCACTAGAGAGAGCTGCTACCATGAAGTACCAAGGGGCAAAAAGAAGGACTGTGGGCCCTGGAGCCTTGGGAGTGGGACTACCCAATATGAACCATGGCTCAGAGGATCACAGCCATGGCTAGGCTCCCAAATGGAGTGCATGTGTATATGTAAATGTACACACGTGTGCATATATGGGCAAATACCAGATCCATCAAACCTACACCTGCTATTTGCTCCCCAAAGGAGGTGGGGAGAGCCAGAGGCAAGCTGGAATCAGCCAGTCTGAGAAAAATGGGAGGGATTTGCAAAGCATCACATGATGGGGGAGGAGCTATTGGGCCTGGAGGGCTGGACAAGGCTTTTTTCCCCCATACCTATGGAGTGTGGCAGGGTGACCAGAGGATTTTGGGATTGTTGTCTCCCACAGCCGCTACGTCCTGCACATTCAGGGCAGCCAGGGCATCGGCCAACCTGGGGAGATTCGCTGGAACCTCTGCCTCTGCCTGCTGCTGGCCTGGGTCATCGTGTTCCTCTGTATCCTCAAGGGGGTGAAGTCCTCGGGCAAGGTGAGGCTTGGGTGCCAAAACTCAGGGGCTGGAAAGGAAGTAGGGTGCTGGCCAAGGCTGAGAAGATGATAAGATTCACCCAGTGAGGGAAAGAGGGGACCTGGGGAGGGCTCTGCCTGAAGGAGGGCACGGAGGTTAATAGGGACACTGGGCCTCCCTGCTTCCCTAGGCTAGGTGCCTGCTTCGGGCAACATCCATAGGTCATTCACGTTGGCATCCTTGCCCAGAGCTTGGCACTTTGCAGAGCTTCAGTGAGGGTTTGTGGAATGCTTATGGGATGGGTGTGTAGAGCAGACCTCTTGGAGCTGCAGGTGATCTGCGCCCAGATGTTACACTAACTGGAAAGCACCCCCACCCACGCCAGATGGGGGACAGTTTTGGCATGGGTGGGTTTGGGGTTCCGTGGCTGTTACCACAGTCTGTTCCTCTGACCTTTCTCTCACTGAAGCGTTCCTCCACACCAGCTTCCTCTACCTGCTTCACCAGCCTGTAGATCTCGTAGAACTTACCTTACTGTGTAAGACAAGCTGTGTACCCACCCCCCACTCAGTGTGGCAGGAAAGGGTTATCTGTTTGGCGTGGCCTCTTCTTGAGCCCGCCACTGCAGCTGGACATGAAGTGAATCCCAGATAGGGAAAATGTGTGTACTATTAGCAGGTGAAGCCAAGCTAGATATGAGGAGACCAGCATGCATTGCGGGCGATGGGCGGGGAGAAGGGCAGTAGGCTGTCTGCCAAAGGCCATAAATGACCTTTGCTAAGCAAGAGGACATCACTGTGCAATGTCGGGTAAAAAGTGTTAGAGAGGAGGGACCACCACGGTCACCGTCAAGGCAGAAGACGGGATGGAGAGAGAAGTGGCTGACTGGATGTTCAGGAAGTTGGGTGTCAGGTGGTTTACAGGGGCACAGGAGGGGGAGACTCACCACCAGTGATGCATCTGAACCAGGTGAAGTAACAGAAATGGGACTGGGGTGGCCTTGGAAGCAGGGTAGCAACACTGGGCTGGTGATGGAGAGAGTGGGAGTTGTAGCCAGAATGGTGGCTGCTCCCGACTCTGGACACCGGAAGTTGAGAAGGCAGGAGCCTGGGATGGACTTGGGCAGGCAGAGCTGTGTGGAGGGTCCTCTGCCACTCCAACCTGCCTCTTCCAGGTGGTGTACTTCACAGCCACCTTTCCCTACCTCATCCTGCTCATGCTGTTAGTTCGAGGCGTGACCCTTCCCGGGGCCTGGAAGGGCATCCAGTTCTATCTCACGCCCCAGTTTCACCACCTGTTGTCTTCCAAGGTGAGCAGGGTGCGTGACAGGAGAGGGGGCAGGTGTGGAACCCCCAAGGGGGAGCCTCCAGGGGCAGCGCTGAAACAGCCTTTCCTGTGTATCCTTATTTACTCTTTAAAATATTACGAAGCAGTTCTCATTTTCTCCATCACTCTCTCCTCTTCTCTCTCTCTCTCTCTCTCTCTCTCTCTCTCTCTCTCTCTCTCTCTCTCTCTCTCTCTCTGTCTCTCTCTCTCAGAAGCTTATAAGAGTTAGTGATGAGCATAAGGTCTTACGACTGGGGTTCCATTCATATCTGTCTGGCTCCAAAGCCCAGGGGAGGGACTTTGTACCAACACCATCCTGTTGGTGGACACTATTGGCCACTGACTACCTGACACTCCCCAGGTTTTGTAGTGATTTAGCCCTCACTGTGCCTCTCCATGAGGCAGGCACTATTCTAGGTCCTTCACTGCAGACAGTGGACCTGGAGTGCAGAGAGGTGACAGGGCTCACCCAGGCAGCACAGACAGGTCCCAGTTCAGATCCCTCTGGTGTCAGCCAGGGAGTAAAGTGGTCACATGGGCCCGTGCACAACTCCAATCTGTTGCCAACTCTGCATTAGTCACACCTTCCTTCAAGACTGGACCAGGCTTAGAGACCATCTACTAGACCCTGGGTGGTAAACTGAGTCCCAGAAAGGGGAAAGGACTTGCCCACATCCTGCCTCGTAAGTGCTGGGGCTGGGGCTGCTCCTGGCCCTCATTTGTGACCCTGGCTGTTCCTCATTCCCTGCTGAATCTATTTCTCATCCTCACCCCTCCTTCTCTCCTGGGCCCTCCCTCCTTCCCTGTCCGTCTTTCCTTGGCACAGGTGTGGATTGAAGCTGCTCTTCAGATCTTTTACTCCCTGGGAGTGGGTTTTGGGGGTCTTCTCACCTTTGCCTCCTACAACACTTTCCACCAGAACATCTACAGGTCAGTGCCTGCAAGCTTCCCAGTGCAGGGGGCCAAACTCAGGAGCACGGTTGCCCAGGAGGCTCTCTTGGGTTGAGTTGAGGTTGTGGCCAGCTCAGCTTGGCTTGGGTTTGGATTCTCCTGGCAGAGACACCTTCATTGTCACTGTGGGCAATGCCATCACCAGTATCCTGGCTGGCTTCGCTATCTTCTCGGTGCTGGGCTACATGTCTCAGGAACTGGGTGTGCCTGTGGACCAAGTGGCCAAAGCAGGTAGGCGGGGGCAGCACTGGAAGGTTCGGTTGGGTGAGAGGCGGCTGGACCACAGGGTGTGCTATCAAGACAGACTGGCAAGATATGCAAGAGCTGTGTGTATATGTGTGTGCGCACCTGCACGTTCGTGTGTGTGTGTGTGTGTGTGTGTATGTGTGCACTTACATGAGGACATCTGCGTGCAAATGCATGGGCGTGCAAGAGTGTGCAACAACAATGAGTTCCTGTACGAGGCTGTCTTACCTTTCAGATCTGGCTTGTCCAAACGAGTCACATCGGGGTTGAGATGTATGTGTCAAGGTGCAAACAGGTCACATCCTGGGGCGAGATGAGTGTGTGGAATTGAGTCTTAAGGTGCCAGTGACCTGTGAGTCAGTGTGTCTTGTGTCAGTGGATGAGTGTAAGTATGTGTACTGGTGGGATTCTCCGTACAAGTGCGTGTGTGGAGACCTGTGTTCTGACTAGGCACTACATTTGGTCCCTGTGTGTGTCTGTGTGCGACTGCTCATTCATATTCAATAGTCCCAAGCACTGAGCCCTGCAGCGCGCCAGCCTTAGTCCTGGAAACTAAGAAAGTGATGGATGTTAGTGTCTGGTTCGTGTCTGTCTCTGGGCTTGGGTGTGGTAAGAGAGAGCACTCCCACAAGGACACAAGACATCCTGCGTATTTGGACGCATATGGGGCAAGCTGTGTACCCCAGGCTGACCCTGCATGCTGTGGGCCCAGGCCCTGGCCTGGCCTTTGTTGTCTACCCACAGGCCATGACTATGCTGCCCCTGTCACCTTTCTGGTCCTTCCTCTTCTTCTTCATGCTCCTGACTCTTGGCTTGGATAGCCAGGTGAGCCTTGCCCGTGGGAGTGGGCGCTGGTGTGTGTGTGTGTGGTACTCTGATCTCAATGCCCCTTGCAGTTTGCCTTTTTAGAGACCATAGTGACTGCAGTGACAGACGAGTTCCCATACTACCTGCGGCCCAAGAAGGCAGTGTTCTCGGGCCTCATCTGCGTGGCCATGTACCTGATGGGACTGATCCTCACCACCGATGTGAGTGGCCTGCTGCAGAGAGCGCACAACCTCAGGGAGCTGGGTGGGGCAGTAGTTGCTTCCGGTCCCACCGGGCTCTGTTTCCGGTGGCAGGCACCTTGGTCTGTGGTTAAGTTCCAGCTCTCGCGTAAGTTTGAAAGACCTGGGTTTAAACATCACCCCTCCGCTTGCCGAGTGACTTCAGACAAGCGAATTTCCCTCTCTGAACCCATTTTTCCTCATCCACGAACGGGCTCTGTTAGGCCAGCCGGCACTCTAGCTGCTTCCTGCTCGCCTTCGACGGGAAGGAGATGGGCTGCAGCTGCAGAGTCTGAGGCTGGAGCCCCAGGGCTGTGCTTTGTGTTCTAGGGGGGGATGTACTGGCTGGTCCTCCTGGATGACTACAGTGCCAGCTTCGGACTCATGGTGGTGGTGATCACCACGTGCCTTGCTGTCACCCGGGTGTACGGTGAGCAGGTCTGGGGGAGGCAGGCTGACAGGCGGGCCCTGTGCTAGCGACCAGGCAGGGAAACAGGCGCCAGAGGGACCTATCATGGGGACACTCCTTCTCCCCCCTGCGCAGGTACCCAGAGATTCTGCCGAGACATCCACATGATGCTGGGCTTCAAGCCAGGCCTCTACTTCAGGGCCTGCTGGCTGTTTCTGTCCCCAGCCACACTCCTGGTAACCAGGGCTAGGAGGGAAGGTGGTTGACTGGGGCCCCGAGGCCAAGTGTAGGTCCCTCTGCGTTTAGTCCAGCTGGGTTACCCCAACCGTGAGTGAGCCCCCGGCAGGGCCGTGGGACAGACACGAGGACCTAGCCTACACATCCTCCTCCAAGCCCCAGTTTTCTGAGCTGTGCTATTCTGGCAAGTGGACGGGACTTTCCTAATTCTTCGGGCCTTGGGAGGGGGCCTCAGGACCGTTTTGCTGGTCATAGTGTGGGAGCAACCGGGAGAAACGTTGCCTCGGGATTTAGGGTACGTCAGACCTGGGCTGTCACACATTTTCTTACTAAGTCAGCTTGCGGGTAGGTCCCAGCTAGGCTCTCTCAGACCCAGGCCGTGCCATACTCGAGTCTCCACTCTGCAGGCCTTGCTGGTATACAGCATCGTCAAGTACCAGCCCTCGGAGTACGGCAGCTATCGCTTCCCTGCTTGGGCCGAGCTGCTAGGCATCCTGATGGGCCTGCTTTCCTGCCTCATGATCCCAGCTGGCATGCTGGTGGCTGTGCTTCGAGAGGAGGGTTCACTCTGGGAGGTGAGTCTGCCTGGCCTGCCCACCTACAGTCTTGCGGCCCTGTGGCCCAGCCCTCAGTATGAGAAACAAACAAACAAAAAAACCAAAGAAGTCACCTGCACCGACATCCAGAGCCTGGCAGGATGCTTGGAGCCTGCAGAGGCCCATGAGTTCTAGAGTTCCTTGGGGCTGGGGTCATGATCTGAGCCTTATGTCACGTGGGGCCCTGGTGTTGGGATTGGAGAGAATGAATCCAAAGGCCGCTGGTGATAGTGTAAGGGTCAGGGCTTGAACTTGGAAAACAGAGTCGGTGAACAACATTGAGGGACCCCAGAAGGTAGGCTATCCCCTTTGTCCTGCATTCAGGATTCCTGCTGGGTCTATAGTAGCAAGGATAGAATTACATATTATAGAATTACAAAATATGTTACATTATAGAATTATAATAAAGACTGTGTTAGAGAAAGTCCTGTTGGTGCAGGAGCCAACAGGCCTTGAAAGAGACAGACAGCAACCCACTGTGGGCCAGCAGATATGGTGTGTGACCACAAGGAGATCCTGCCCCTCTCTGAGCCTGGGGCACCCTGGCCATTATGAGTCTGGAGTCCTCCGATGATCAGAGACCATTGTAGCGAGTGGGTGGAGCTGCAGTGAGCCTGGCGGGGGTTGGGGGGGCAGAGAGAGCCTGGGGACCTCCCTAGGCACACACCTTTCAGAAGGTGCTGGAGTCAGCCAGCCTTGGTTCCTGAGAGCTGACTCTTGAGAATTTAGGGGGTTGTGATCCCATTGTTAGGCTAGCTCTAGCCAGAAATGGGCAATGGCAGGAAATGAGCTATAAAGCAGTCCCTGCCCCCCTGCAGACCTACGCCCTAGAGCACACTGCTGCCACATGCCTGTCCCACACAGACACGCTCTCTCTTTCTTTTGGGAAAGCCCGTCTGGTACTCTCTGTAGTTCAGTCAATGCTATGCTTCCAACCACTGCATGACATGGGGCTAAGCTCTTCCCTGAACCTCGGAGCCATCCTGTGCCTCCCAGAGAACTGCCAGCCAACCCTTGCTTGAGAGCCGGGTGTGTGCAGAGAGCAGCAGGACGGGGCAGCCTGGAGCCAAGGACGTCAGCTCTTGAGTTTATGGATCTGCGGCTAGGTGCAGGAGCAGCCTCTCGTGATCAAGGCTTCCTCCCATCGGCTGGGTCAGAGTCCCAGCAGCGCTAACGGCCCTACTCCAGTTGTCCCTCTAGCCTTGGTTTCTCCAATAAGGTTGCTGTGAGGAGAAGAGGAGCCAGTTAGACTAGGGGACAGAAAAAGCAGAGCATTAGGAAAGTTCAAGGCAGGGCCTATCCAGGTTCAAATCTCAATGCCACCACGTCCCACCCGCGTGACTTTGGCTAATTTAAGTGACCTCTCTGAGCTTTAACTTTCAGATGATACCTGTGGGAGTAAAGAGGGTAGAGTGTGAATACCCCTTTTATGGGGGTTCTACAAAGATTAAAAAGACTGATGCCTAGCACAGAGCTTAGGTATCTATGCGCTCAGTTCCAGACCAGGAGTTCCTGTAGAGGGTATTTTTTCCCTGGGCAGTTTCCAGTGGCATTACTGATTGTTGTGGAGGGTAACTGAAAGGACCGTGGGCTGAGATCGTGGTTAGCACCCTCCCATGTACAGGAGAGCCCCACAGTTTGTCCCTGCCAGATGGCCAGTAGCCCTGAAGCTAAGGAATTTCTTCTTGTGTGTGCAGACACATCTAAATCCTCGCTCTTGGGAGTCCTTGCATTTTAGTGTGGGAGATAGGCAAAAAGGACTCAGTAACAATGGCTAAGGCTACGCCTCAAAAGAACAAACAAACTGGAAACTATATGTAGTGAGATCCTGTCTCAAAAAATCAAAGCAAACATACAAAAATCAAACACACACACATGCACACAAATAGAGTGGCGAAAGGTGCCGTTTTAGCCAGGGCAGTCAGTCAGAGAGAGACGTCAAGACGGACAAGGCGATACATGAGAGCATTCCCAGCGTCTGGGAACCAAGACCAAAGCCGTGACAGAAGAGCAGCTGCCATGTCTGAGGACAGCAAAGAGGCCCATGTGACTGGACCAGAGACTGCAGAGGGGAGGTGGAAGGTCCCAGGTTGTGGAATATCTTACTTTGCTTTCTATTGCTGTGTTTAAAACACCATGACTCTGCCAGGCAGTGGTGGCACACACCTTTAATGCCAGCACTTGAGAGACAGAGGCAGGAGGATCTCTGTGAGTTCGAGGCCAGCCTGGTCTACAAATCGAGTTCCAGGACAGTTAGGGCTGTTACACGGAGAACCCTGTCTCGAAAAACAAATAAAAACAAAACAGTAACAACAGCAACAACAACAAGAAAAAACACCACAACTTGGGGCTGGAAACACCATTCAGTGGTTAAGAGCACTCACTTGATTTTACAGAGGACCCGGGTTCAATTCCCACATCAGGTAGCTCACAACTGTTTGTAGCTCCAGCTCCAACAGATCTGACACTTTCTTCTGGTCTCCACAGACACCTGCACTGACATCTACATACCCACACACAGACACACGCACATGCATGTATTTAAAATTAAAAATAAACTTAACACACACATACATACCCACACACAGACACATGCACATGCATGTATTTAAAATAAAAAATAAACTTATACACACACACACACACATACACCATAATCAAAAGTGAGTTGGGACTCCAGGCGGTGGTGGCGCATGCCTTTAATCCCAGCACTGGGGAGGCAGAGGCAGGCGGATCTCTGTGAGTTCGAGGCCAGGCTGAGCCTCCAAAACAATACAGAGAAACCCTGTCTCATAAAACCAAAAAAAAAAAAAGTGAGTTGGGATTGAAAGGGTTTGTTCGGTTTGTGTCAAGTTGGCAAAAACCAGTTGGTACAAGAAGGTAAGCGGGGAGGGCACAGAGAGCATGGCCAACATTCAGATTTCATTCCAAGAAAGAGGAGAAACTTTTTTGGCAAGTTTGTGAGGAGCTGGCTCTAACGATTCAAGAAATGCCACCACATTCTGAGTGGCAATGACGCTGGTGCTAGACCAAAAGCCGTTCACACTCTGTGCCCTGGGAACCTGAGCCCTGCAGGCTTCATCAGTTGTCGGTAGCCTCCTTTTTCTCGGGGTACAGGCATCTTCCTCTGGCAGGGTGGGCAGAGGACCCTGGGGATGAAGGATGAAGGGTCTCTGGAATTGTAGGCTTAGGCAGCTCCTTCCTTCTTGGACATGACTTTGAGAAGTGTCCAGGGAGGCCACCTCAGCCCTGCCTCTGTTCTGGCCGCCACTTGTTTCATAACCCCCCCCCCCCCCCCCCAGCAAATCTGAATTTGGCTTTCAGCAGAAGGGTGCTGGAGTAGACTCCTGAGTCTCTCCTTAGGTGCTTGTCAGTGTGTGTGCGCATCTTGTTCATAACCCTGGAAGACACGTTATCCCCAGCATCAACTAGTTATACCCTCTTTACAATGTCCCCGTCGTGTGAAGTTTACAGATGGTTTCTCAGGACCACCAGTCCAGAAGTGGCAGAACAGATTCCCACTGGGCACAGGCAAGTTCCATTGGGTGCCTGGCCATGGAAAACACCCAACACCCATTATCATTGCTCTGCCACAGCGGCTTCAGCAAGCCAGCCGGCCGGCTATAGACTGGGGCCCATCACTGGAAGAGAACCGGACGGGCATGTATGTGGCCACACTGGCTGGGAGCCAGTCACCAAAGCCGCTGATGGTACATATGCGCAAATACGGAGGCATCACCAGCTTCGAGAACACGGCCATTGAGGTGGACCGCGAGATTGCAGAGGAAGAGGAAGAGTCCATGATGTGAAACTGAAGACTACCCAACAGGAGGGACGGTCAGGGCCTCACAGTCCCTTCCTTGGGGGCCTGCAGGGGACAGCTCTGCCTGCTGGGATTCTGAGAGGCAGTTGGAGGTTGCTACAGCAATGTCAGTCCCCAGTATAAGTCCCTCTTTGTGGCCTCTGCCTCTCCTGGGATCTCTATCTAGATGGACACACACACACTCAGTAGTCCAATCAAAGCTGAAATGATCCGGCTCAGCCCTCACTTTGCAAAGGGATGTGTTGAAGCCAGGAAGGGAAGAGCTGGCCCAAGGTCACATGCCCAAGAGGACTTGTTCCTAAGCCACCAGGCAGCCAACTCCCTTCCTCTTGGGGCAGTGGGCACCATATTTGATATCTTTGTTCAAACATTTTGACAAGACATATTTCCACATAAACCAACGTTAAACCTGGGGCTCCAGGTAGTGAGAAGCCTGGAGGGTTCCAAGGCCCCAGACATAGTAGTAAGTGAATTAGACAGAAAAAGCTATGTGGGTTCCTATGTTAAGGTCAAGTTTCCCAGAAGAGGGAGCTGGGGGGATGTGAAGGATTGCAGAACAGACAGGAGGGGGTGCTTTGGGGCCAGTGCTGCCCCTGAGCCAGGAGGAGGCCAACCTTCCAGAGCAGAGACCAAGGATGGCTGGAGATGGTGATGCTCGCAGGTTATGAGAAATAGCAGGGAGGGGGAGCCAGAAAGGCAGGTGGGGGGGCTTGCATGGCACTGCATATCACTTTAGGTCTGTTGAGGGTGGACCAGGGGCAGGTATAGAGACGGGAGGCTTCTGAAGGACAGACGAGAGGTCCTAGTGGCTGGAGTTAGGCACTAGGGTGGGAGTACACAGGCAGAACCCACCCTTCACCACGTGGACGTTGTGCCTTGGGCTGGCAGGAGGCCCAAGGAGCACCCGCCATGGAGGTAGGAATGAAGGCTGCAGTTAGAATCCTTTTCCTCCCATCCCTGTGGCTTCCGATGACAAAGACAGCCAAGCCACAGAGATGGTCCGTATAAGACATACGTCCTGATGCTGCAGGGCTCCTGGCATGAGGGTAGCCTCTGTCCTGGGCCTCCGAGAGATGGCATTCGGGTGTGGCTGCCAGGTGTCCCGCCATTGCTTTTCCCAGCAGAGCAGGGCACTTTCATGCAACACAGTGAGTGGCCTTTGTGCCCGCCTCATCCTGGCATCTCCCCGGCCCATTTGTGTTCTGCTGGCTGATTGTCAATAAATACCAAGTGAGGTCACCCTCCTTACCCGACTCTTTGCTACTGAGGGCACAGTGGGCATCACAGAATACGTGCCAGCTCCCACTAGACAGAGGAGGGGCCCAAGGTTGGCCACTTGCCTCTTTCAACCCTGACTTCTGGCGTTTGCTTTGTAATGTCTCTGGGTGAATGCTGGGCCTCTAGAAACTGCTCAGTCTCCCATTATATGTAAAGACAAATAGAGCCCCAGAGGGGAGAGACTTGCCCAAAATGGGGAGGATAGCAGGTCATGGCAGCATCCACCAACCGTAGGCATCCCTTCAAGTGAGGCTGGTGTTGATGGACTCATCTTGGGTTTCCTACAGAAGAATCTCCTGGTGTTCTCAGCCCCTTCTGGCAGGCAGGGCCTCAACACATGAAAGAGCCCAAGCCTTTCTAATGCAGACCCAGTGTCTGTGAGGCTTTGATGGGGAAGAAAGGAAGGTGACTACTGTTGAGTATTAATACATTTCCCCTTACAGAGGGCCATGCTTTGTTGATACTCCGCATGGGAAAAGGGTGACAGAATCATGTTTCTCAAGGCAGGCTCCTCTTTCCACACCAGGTACAGCCTCTAGTTTCTGGCAGGACCCTGACCTGGAGCCTTCTTGCCACACCCATATGGGGAGTTGACTCGCTCTGCTCACTTGGGGCCATGGTTTTAAGGGCCTTGGCTTGGGCATCTAGTCATGGCTGCATCTGGTGACCAAGGCATAAGCCTGGAGGATCTAGGAGCCGAGACCCCACTTCTCTCAAATCGTGAGATGGAAGGGTGGGAGGGTTGTGGCATAGTGGTAACCTTAGCAGGTCCTCAATAGGCCCTGCCCACCCCTGCTGCCCTCTACCAGCCCAGCAAATTCATCTCTGCCTGTGCCCACACAGACCCGGGCCATCCTCTGCTTAGACCACGCCTGCATCCGAATCCTGGCCAACCCCCTACACGCACTTTCCTCAGCTCCCAGCCACATCTGACTCCTGAGTCTGAGTCAGCCCCACATCTGGTGAGTCCAGACGGCCCAGCCTTTATGTCCGTGGCACTCGTGTCCTTCTGAGACAACGTATCCTATTTCTGTGCCATCGAAATTCTTGTCTCATACGCCTTGGACCCCAGAGCACTCTAGGATGTGGCAGGGTGCTATTCAGAGGCCTCCGGCTGCTCAGCCACAGGTTTGGCCTGTTCTCAGCTCTGTCTGCCTGAGCCATGTGATCAGAGGAAGTTGCTATGTCTCTCCAAGCTCCAGGCTCTTTCCCTGTAATGGGGTAGCCGCAATTCTTCAGCAGAAACCTCAGTGGGGTGGGCGTTGGAGGATGCTGCGAGGCTCCAGCGTGAGCCAGGGCATACATCTGTTGATCGAATGCCCCGCCCCAGTCCTCCAGGGTCAACCTTGGACATCCCTGGTCTTTCCCAGTCATGACAGTGGAGTGGCAAACTGAACACGGTTCTGTCATGGCTCTGGGGACAACCAGCTGCAGACCCCTGGGAGTACCGTGGATCCTGGGTTGTTCAGCTTTCAGGATTGTGGTGTGCTGTCCTTAACACTTTTTTTTTTTTTTTTTTTTTTGCTGGTGGCTCATTTATCTTCAGGCCACTCCCTCCAGGGCCTGAGTTCCCAATGACATTGGTCCTGCCCTGGAAAGGCACATGTCCTTGGCCCGCATCCCCCTGCCTCCGCCTGACGCCTGACTTCCTGTAACCCTGGACTTCTCTCCAAGGCACTGGGCAGCTGTCCGCCCCCTCAATCCTGATCCACGCTCCCCTCCCAGCACCCTCATCCAGGCTTGTTTTTGTTAGGCGGAGAGGAAAACGTTTTTCCCATTAATGCCCACAGCGACGGCGAGCTGCAGCCCCTAGAGGATTGCAGTAGTACGTAGGAGCCAAGGCAGAGCGACACAGTCAGAGTCAAATGCCAGCCCCACAGCCCTGGGAATCCACTACTTCATGTTTCCAAACCCAGAGCCTCTCCGATGTCAAATGCAGTTACTTTTCCTGTTGCAAGAGATTAAATGTGATACTGTTAGGGCCCTGGACCACGCTTGGAAAGAAAAACTCATCAAAGTGCCTAACACAAAACTGAAAGAGTAGAGACCTGTTAGGTAAGATTATGCAGGCAAGAAACAGTCTCATCTTCCCCCTCCAATTAGCCCAGGGAGGAGGAGGCTAGGGACTCTCAATTCTAGAGCCTGGGACAAGCTGCCATCAGGCCCAGGACTAGCTAGTACTGTGACAACAGACCTCAGTGTTCCCATCTGTAAATCAAGTAAGTTGAATAGGAATCTGGACTCTCTACCAAGGTCCCTGCTGGGGGAGGCATGAACCAAAGGGAACTGGCTGCCCCCGTCCACTCCTGTAGACCTTCTGCTGAATACCACGGCCGTGGACTTCCTTCTCCAGAGATGGGCTTTGCCTGGTGAGAAGGCAATGTCATCCCCTCTCCAGGCCTGGTTGAATGATTAGGAAGCTGGTCTTCCAGTAAACTGGACAGGATAACCCTGCCAAGCCGCAGGATGGGAGTAGACTGTAGCCCATAGGTAGAGCACTTGCCTAGCATGCATAAGTCTCTGAGTTCAAACCAGAACACAATCTAAAGTGAGGCGTGGTGGCTTGTGCCCGTAATCCTAGCACTCAGGAAGTTAGAGGTCGGGGTCATTGGGTATGAAACAAGTTAGAGGCTAGCCTGGGTTACATGAGAGCCTCTCTCAAGAGAAAAAAAATCTGAGCCCAAGCTTTGCCTTGGCCTTTACTCTGCTGATGACAGCCAGGGTCCCACAGAGCTTTGGGCCACAGGAATTTGAGGCAGGGGAGGGCCCTGTCATCAAAATCCTTCTCCTGAGATGTGGGTGAGAGGAGATGGAGTGGGAACCCTTGGGTCAGTCGTCCCATAATGGCATCTTGGGGCAGCCAGCACAGCATTGGAGACTGGGAGGGGCAATCCCTGCAGAGCCCCTGACCCAGGGCCTTGTACGAACATTGCTGCCTGGGCCCCGCCCGGTCTTATAGATCTTACTCCCCGAGAGTAGGGCCTGGTACATACTTATGTCTAAGTGGGCTCCGTGAGGGACTCCGCAGCAGCCAACCCCAGTCCCACGCTTTAGAACCATGGGTTCAAGGTCATTCTTAAAATTTGTCTATTTTTATTTTATATGCCTTGGTGTTTTGCCTGTGTGAGGGTGTTGGGTCCCATGAAACTGGAGTTACAGACAGTTGTGAGTCACCATGTGGGTGCTGGGAATTGAACCCTGGCCTTCCAGAAGAGCAACTGTTGAGCCATCTCTCCAGCTCCCCAAGGTCATGCTTATAATGAGGAAACGGAGGTCCAGCGAGGGGCTATGACTCACCACCAGCCATACTGGTCTTTATCCTTTTTCTCCTGAGTGGTAGGACAGTCCCCCTCTGGCTCCCTCCTAGGTCTGAGAAGTGAGGTGTCTGGGTTAGACTTCCCTGAAGGAAGTGGCTTCTGGGGCCTTGGTAGTCCATGTTGGGGAATGGAGAAAGAACAAAGAGAGAGGCCATTCCCATGGGGTCAGTGTCTTCTGAAGGGCTTACACCCCAGGCCTGAAGAGGCTGTCCCACTGCTGGGGACCTGCCTGTGTCCTGGTAGGTTCAGGGCTCCCTGGCCTGTCACACTTCGGGTCCCCACAACCTCCCCCTGAGCCTGCTTCCCACACTCACATGCTTCCAGGTTGCTCCTGCCTGTGTCGACTTCCCTCCCCTCCGCCCCGTGAAGTGTGTCCACACTCCCAAACCTCTCCTCTTTCCTCCAGCCCCGGGTCCAGCCTCCACCTAGCCTGACCTGAGTCTTGGCTCTTGTGGTGTCACCCAGTGTCAGGGATTCCTGGAAGACAAGAAATACTTCTAGCCTCTTTTCAAGTCTTCTTGAGACCCCAACCTGGCTGCAGCACACCCCAGAAGAGTCAGCATTTACAGTGGTTCAGGGTCCAACTCACCTCCCCCGACCCCAGCCTCATTGGGTGGTGGCTTCCCTTTCCATTCAGTCTCCTTAGCCATGTGTGGCCCCTCCCAGGGCTGTGCTGAGGCGAGCGCGAGAGCTTCCAAGTAAGAAAGTTGGGACATGTGTGGCCTTGGTCAGTCCCCAGTAAGTGACAGCCATTGCTGTTGCAGATTGACACATGTCATGCGTGCGTGTCTCTGATCCCAGAAACATGCTTGCCGGGATTGACTTCATGCAAGAGTGGTAATACCTATGGCACCCACGGCGTGTGTCCTGAGTGGGGACTGGCTGCGCTCCTGCCTTCAAAGAGCACACGGATCTGGGGTCATTTGCTTAGGCCTATTGGTGGGGTAGGAAGAGGTCGTTGTGGGATCCTGGGACCTAATCGAGAATGTGTAAACTACAGAAGACAATAAAGATGAGGCTAAACGGGACTGGGAGTCAAAGGTGGGGAGCTTCTCAGACCCACACTCACCATTTGCTGATGCCCAGAGTTGGAAAGGCACAGAACAGAGGAATGGGGATCCCTAGAGGACCTAAAAGTTGGGTGAGTTTTGGTTCAGGGTTCCCAAGCTGCTCTGAGTCTTGCTATCTTCCTCGCTCCCCCAAACTGTTGCAACCAGGGCAAGTGGTGTGAAAACACATTGTGAACTGTAGCATCGCATGCTCTTGGGAGGTAAAAACACAGTTCTAATTTGAGCTGGTACACTTTGAGAGTTCAAAAGCTCTCTTGAGAGCAACTGGAATTGCCCAGACTATGGCATGACACTCCTGGAACCCACTCGTGTTATGCCACCTGGTGGTGAGAATCTGCAATGGCAGCCTAAGCAAGCTCGCAATCCCCTCTGCACTGCCCAGGGCTATGAGTGCAGACAGGAGACAGTATTTGTGTGCTCTCGTGCTTTTGTGAACCTTGGTCTGTACTCTCACTGTGGAGGTTCTTGTGGCAATCCATACCTGTCCCCTAATTCTCGTTAAGGTTACCCCAAATGCCTGAAAGGAAGCAGACTCCATCCTTGGTCCTAAGGTTGCAAGCATGTGGTTCAGACAATCTCAAAATGATTGACTCAGCCTTAAGCATGTGAACCAAGTTATTCCAGTCCATCTGAAGATGGACCGGGATTTTCATTTTGCAACGGGGGAGATGTGAAACAAAAACATCTCTGAGAGTTCTGTGCCTTGGCCAGTCCAAGAAGACACGGAGTCGCATAAATTCGTAGGTATTTATTGCACTGAAAACACTAAGAATAAAACAGACACCTCTTCTCCCCTCCCCCACCCTGCCAGCCCCACCCCCACCCCCAGTAGCAGAAAGTTTGAGCAGTGGTCATTCAAGTCACAGCCACACATTAAAAAAAGAAATAAAGAGAGAGGAAGAGAGAATCGAAACAGAACCCTAAACATATAGGAACAAAGAAACCAGCACGGAGCCTAGCAAACATATTCCCCCAAGGGTCACCCTTTGAAGGGGGCCAGGAAGCCATGGGGCAGGACTGGAGCTATGGCACATAAGGTTGGAGATGCCTTTCCTATAACCCTGACCAGAGCCTGAGTTTTGATTTGGCCTTCCTTCTTCCTTCCTTCCTTCCTTCCTTCCTTCCTTCCTTCCTTCCTTCCTTCCTTCCTTCCTTTCTCTCTTTCTCTCTTTCCTTCCTTCCTTCCTCTCTCTCTCCTCTCTCTCCCTCTCTCTCTCTCTCTCTCTCTCTCTCTCCTTTTCTTTTTGTCTGGAGGGTATTTGGGAGGAGCACGGAGCTTGTCTGGTGAGGGTAGGCTCTGGGCAGTGTTTGTTTGTCTTTGTTTTACTGCCAGTTCTCCTGCCTGCCACCTTGGGGTCATCGTAGTGTCCCAAGGTCTACACCGGTTGGCTGCCCACCCGCAGGAGCGGCCTCTGCCGAGCGGGCCATCTCAGACTGGGGTAGGGATCTGCCTCCACCTCTCCCACATGTGAGAGGCACATCGTGGGCAGGGGGCATGTTAGCCAACGGAAGGCAGGGCATCTTCTGCTTGGGGAAACTGAGGCCCCACAAGGGGCAAGGACTCACCCAAAGCAGGTCTCATGAGAGCCCAGAATCAAAGCCTGCCAAATCGCCCCAAACCCTTCTTCCCCTGCAGCCCATTGCTGGTGAGCAACAGACAGGCACCAAAGAGGAAGACAGGGCCAGGCAGGGAAAGGACAGTGACTGTCCAGGCCTGGCACGTAAGGAGGCCAGCCAGTGACAAACCCAGCAGGCTCTTAGAAGTGGGGTGGGCTTCATGTTGCCACCTTGTCTGATCCTCCATCATTCTGGGTAGGAACACTGATGGAGAAACTGAGGCTTGAATAAGGGATTAGATGTTGCTTGGTAATTGCAGCAATCCTTAGTTAAGGCCATACCCTCCTCTATCTTTGGCTAGGGATGGCTGGGACCAGAGGGCTCACTGGGCCTTATGGAGAAGCCTGGCTCTGGGGCAGGGCCAAGGTCCATCCCTGGGCCTGGGGCAGTAGTGTCTACCAAGGGCAGAGGACTCCAATGGGGTGGCTTAGATAACACAGCCACTTTCCTGTCCTGCACTTGTCCCCAGGACTTGAGAGAAGATCCCAGTACATAGCTCTATGTGGGGGAAAAAGGGAATACCAGAAAGTTCTGGATTAAACATCCCTTCCACTTCTGCTCCAATCAACCCTCAGAGGAGCTGAGAGAATCAATGCTGTCTCCAAACCCCTGGACACATAGCCCTTCCTCCCCTAGAATCCTCCAGAGGGGACAGTGTCTCATGCTGGCAAACCATGGCCACACCGAGACCAAAAGCACAGAGAGGCAGCAACGTGATTCCAAGGTGGACACAGAACACAACCTCGAATGTCATTATTATTATTTTGTCCAAAACATGTCATTTGATTTTGTTGAGTGTTTTTCTTCTTTTTTGTTTTTGTTTTTTTTTCAACATATTTACTGCATATAAAGTCATGCAAAGAAAACGGTGCAGACAGGAGATCCCCGTGGGTGAGACACAGCATTCCACATCAGAGCCAAGAAGAGGGAGAGAGAGGAAGAGAAAGAGAACGGGAGGGAGGGAGGGCAGGGGGGGAGGGCAGGAAGGCAGGCAGGTGCACTAGAGTGCACGCCAGCCCAGTTCAGCAGGAAGTAGGAAAATAGATTTCTGGTGGTCTGTTTTGTCCAAGTTAATAGAAGCAATGAGGATACGTGCTCAGGAGATAGTGGGGGTGGGGTGGGGTGGGTTGGGGGGATGCACAAAAATATGGGGAAAGAATTCCTGGGAAGTATGGTAGAGAGGACTCCAGCTCCGGGATGCCAAGTCTGAATCTTCCCATCCTGGTGGCCTCCCCAGCCCTGACTCGCTCACTGTGAGTTAGTCATGCTGTCCCTGGATGAAATACTGCCAGCTGACCCTGGGGACCAGAATGGAAGGAAGCTGTGCTCCCTGGGGGTGGGGGGTGTGGTGAGGCCGCCTCAGAAAGGAACCCCCCAAAAAATCTGGAACAGAGTAAAAACTTCCCCTCATCCCTCTTCCCACCCACTTCCCAACCTGATCCAACTCTTGTTGAGGTTTAGTTACACATAAATACCCGTTAACGCAAAATCCATTTACGAAACACACACAAGTTTGGCTGTAAAAAGGCATGCGTCCAAGTAGAAGTGATACCTAAATGTTGCTTGCTCTGCCCTTGAAACATCATCAGCTCTCAGACAGAAGCTGGAATTCTCCAAGGACGTTGAAGCATGGAGGGGGCAGGTTAACACTGGAGGTGAACTTCACAGAAGGACTGAAACAGTCAGTGGGGTGCCTGAAGGGGAGAGCCCACCCCGGCTCCCATAGTGGGCTGTCTGGTCGGCACAGGGCCAGCACGGGAGGGAAGCAGATGAGAGCAGCAGTTCGAGGCCGGGGCTCCTGGCATTGGCTCCTCTCCTGCTCTCCCCCATAAGGAGTTGGCTTGGAGATTGAGGAGCTCATCTGCGCTTCCCTGGGGACCCCAGAAGAGGAGGGATGGAAGAGAGGGGCCGGGTCACACTTGCCCTCTTCTTCCTCACTTCCTGGTAAACACACAGCTGGTGCCTCCTCACCTGCAGCCAAAGCGAGGCCAGGCCAACCACAGTGGCTGGGAGGTGGGGGTTCCTGGGGCCAGCATCCTGGGTAGCCAAGCCTGAAGCAGGTCCCCACTGGCAGGAAGAGGGTAAGAGTGAGAGACGGACTGGAAAGAGCGGGCCATTTGCTTTGATGCTGCGATGGCTTTTGTGAAGGAGCGGATTTTCATGATGCAGGTACAGAGATGGCAATGACAGCGCGATACGACAGGGAGAACTCCAACAAAATCCAAGAGAGAACCAGCAGCCACATTCCACGGACAAAGAGTGGATCTCTGCGATGCGACAGCGCAGGGATCCCGGCCTGGTCCTTCAACTGTAAGACACAGTAAGCCCACCACCTTAGATATGACCAATGCTGCCTCCTCCCAGGGTTTCCACCCAGCTTTTCCCCAGGATCTGCAGGAACTAAAGTCTCCTTGCTGGAGTCTTGTCTCGTAGTTATTCGGGGCCAAAAGGCAACAGCCTGCTCCCCTGGGCGTACCCCACTGCCTCCACCCCTACCCCGCACCAGGTCAACGCCCTTAGCTCGCCCCTGGAGGCGCAAGAAGAAACGATTCTTACTGGGGCAGGACGGAGGGTGCCCCGGATCTGTGGAAGTGTACAATCTGCCATTTGCCGTCCCTGCGGTGCCAGACACGGGTCTCCTCTGACTGGGCCGTGCGGGGGATGCCACCTGCATCCAGGTACTGCGTGATGCGGATGTAGGCGATGCACGCTGACTCGTCACCCATCAGGTGGATGTGGGGGTTCAGGATGGTGGTGTGCACGGGCTTGCTGTTCCGGGACCACACTGGAGGCAGGAACGGGAGGGGCTGAGGCGAGGCAACCCAGGGGGCTTCCTGCCCCTCTCCATTGCTCTCAGACTTCAGCTGCCCTCTCAGGGGAGACACCTCTGTCCGACTCTATGCAGTAGGGGGATCTCTGGGACAGGGATCAACTACCTGAGAGTCAAGCAGAACTGCTACGTAACCTAGTAACCGGATACCACATCTCAGGTAAGGTACAATGGACTTCAGCCATGCCAAATCGCTCAAATATGGGGAGAGAGGAATTTTAGAATTAGTGTCTTGTACATACAAAAACATGAAGCCCAGACAATTTACTGAGCCAGATAAGGTTGATTTTTTTCCTTGATCACAGGTTGGTAATGAGACCAGGCCAGCACTTAAATGATAGAGGTTGAGCTGGGTATAAGATGCTGGGTGGCAGCCAAGTCTCTACCTCTGGATCGGGGAGACAGTAGGGAGTGACAGGGACTGCCTTGTCCCATCTCGAGGGCACCCTGACCACAGCTCCTCTGGATACCATGTGTTTCCCACGTTATTGCTCCAGAGAGTCTGGAGATTTCTCTGGATTTTCATATGAAAAACCTTCACTTTGACCACTGTTATGTTATTCATAGGTAACACAGCTCATAAGCTACACGAACTGTCTGTAGGCTAGATGTGCCTCACCCTGTTTATCAACTCTATTGCCATCTGCTGAGTTACAGACACAGGGGAAATGGAACCTTCAATTTAGGGGGGTTGTACTGGTCATCATGGAGTGAGGTCATAGCTCTTTCTAGGGTTAGGGGGACACCAGAAGATCTTGTTGTCATGCCAACTAACCAGAGTGCCTGGAAACGGTTCCCACCTCCATTTTCAACATCACCATAGTATTCTAGAAACTCTCAAGTTGCTCATCAAGACACAAAACAAGAGCACAGAAACACAGTGACTCAGGGGCAGACAGAGGCCGTTGGGTTCTCACTCTGACAAGAAGAACCCTTGGGTCCTCCCCTAGTGTAGCCCGCGTGAACAGCTAGCCTCAAATGTGGAGTCTCTAACGCTACCCACAACGCCACAGTTTGAGACCCTGTAACTCCAGTATTCTCCCCATCCCCATACTCTGATTCTGTTACCCAACGAAATTTGTAAACTGCATATCCCCTGAAAACTGTAAGCTGTAGAAAAAGGCATCCTTTAGTATTGTAGTCATTGTGTGTCATTGTCTCTGACAAACAACAACAAACTGGGAATTTTGAGCTCCCAGGCACAGAAAATGTAAACTTTTAGAATAAACTTAGAGCAGTAGTTCTCAACCTGTAGGTTGTGACCCCTTCTTGTCAAATGACCCCTTCACAGGGGTCGTCTAAAGCCATCAGAAGACACAGACATTTACATTTGTGATTCATAACAGTAGCAAAATTACAGTTATGAAGTAGCAATGAAAACTTTTATGGTTGGGGTCACCACAACATGAGGAACTGTATTAAAGGGTCACAGCATCAGGCAGATTGAGAACCACTGCCTTAGAGGCTAAAGGTCACCAAAGTTCCCTTTCCCAGAGTGCATGAGACTTCCCTAAATGTCCCTGAATATAATGCAGGCAATGTGTCCTTTACCATGTATGGAAAACTAATCCAAAACCACTATCTGACTTGGTCCAAGCTGTCAATTTTTAGAAAAAAAATACAGAAGACAAGCTTGCAGTGGCTGGATTAGGACAACCCAGGTTCATTCCAGAAGGGGCAGTTTAGCATCGGTAGTGGTGGGGGACAAGCTTTGCCCCTGTTGATCGTGGTTGGGATCCCAGGGACTCTAACATGATATGGTATTACTTGACCAGACTAGCAGCTTCCAGGACATCATTCTTGTGGACAAGGTGGGAGACAGGACCAGGTGCTGGGCAAGAAAGGACAGGCGGTTGGGAGGGAGCTCTACAGAGTGAGAGGCTGTACTGGGTCACACCCTGTGAGTCCTCCTTACAAGTAACCAGAGGATTAAGCAGCACAGGGTCTCGGAGCCAGTGCTGAGATGGTGCCTGCTGCATGAGCAGACTAGAAACATAGACGGCTTTTTGCATTTGGACCTCTTGGTGGTGATCTCTGCACCTGGGGAGTTGAGCCTTACTTAACCTGGTCTCTGCCCAGCTCTGGGGAGACTAGAGGGCTGCAGCTTGGAAACAACGCCCCTAGAGGTCAAAGGTATAATGACAGCTTTGGTGGTCCTCAGATGTAGGGAACTGCACACAGGATGAGAGTGAGGTCTAAGGTCCAACTTCCTCTCTTCCTAGAATTCAGTCTCCATCACTCAGCCTGCAGGATCCCGCCTAATTCTTTAAGGAATTGTAGCTAGCTTCTTCCTTTCCTTTCCTTTTTTTTTTTTTTTAAGAGAGAATGCCTGTTGCTATGCTGACAGAATAGACCCTCTCGGCAAAAGCAGGGCACCAGATTGAGACAGAGCTAAGTCTGCAGCTTGCTTAGGGGCTTCCTCTCCCTTGGCCACAGTGGAAATGTCTTTCCGAATGACAGAACTGGGCTTCACCCTGAGTCGCCGCCGTACCTCCTGCGCTTTGCTTGTTAAACCGTATGTGAGCACCATCTGTGTTCACGTCACGGAACGGTTTTCCTGGTTAGCTTCATAATATGTTTACTTCGTTTATTTTTTAAGGTTTCATTTTTACGTGTCTCTGTGCTGTTGGGGGGGGGTTGGTATGTACACCAGAGCGCAATGGCCTATGGAAGCCAGAAGAGGGCGCTAGGTCTTGTGGAGCTGGAATTACAATTATGACATGACATGGTGCTGGGAACTGAACCCAGGTCCTCTGAAAGAGCAGCACACACTCCTAATCTCTGAGCCTTCTCTCCAGCCCTAATGGGATTATTGTAAATAAAAATTGCCAACACTACCGTCAGCGGACGATGGGTCACACAAAAATAAACAAGGAACGGAAAATCCAGTGAGGAGAAAATAGTTAGGTCATTCTTGCATGCAAGGTATCTGGGCCCTTGGTGCCCTTTGAAAAAAGAGGGAAATCGGGAACTGTCAGAAGTGAACTGAGTCTTTCTCTGCCTGTGAACTCCGTGAGAATTGACCAGGAAGGATTTTCTTGCTATTGAGTCAATGCAATATATGTGATGCCTAGAAATACCAGAAGGCATATGTGTGGCTTGTACCTGTCATTTGGGCATAGGCTCACTAAACCACTCCTGAGTCCATCCTCCGTATCCTAACCTTGGCTTGGTCCCTGTCTGACCCCTGGCCTGGGTAAGACACAGACAAGCGGGAAACTCACTGGCTCAGTCCCAGGCTCAGCACCCTGCCCACCCTCGTTGCGAGTTTCTGAGACCTCTCCTGCAGAGGAGAGGCCCAGGAAGGACAGACATGCAGAACAGAGACCTAGACACACAGGCAGGGCACAGCAGTGTGAAATCCCTGGCCCTCTCTATCTACAAGGTCATATGCATCATAACCCAGGAGACATCGTGTCACCAACTGGGCAGCTGGGATGGCCCCAAGCGTCCAGATGATTGTGACTTGCCGTGTGAGTTAGTGAAGGCTCCCTGTCTACCAATGGGAACAATGACTGTCCACATAACTCTCCCAGGCTAGAAGGCATGAGGGGGCTGAGGAAGCTTGTCATAAGTGTCCTTGGCTTCGGGGACCCACCCCAGCCTTCACCCCATCCTCGGCCACAGGAAGGACAGCTGGCAATCAATGGAGAGGGAATCAAGAAGGTACCAACCCCTGTCCTCATGGGATCTTCCTCTTCACTGGCTCCTGAGCCGCCCCTGAGGCCCTGCCCGTCACCCTGCTGTGCCATCCAGGAAGGAGGTCAGACAACACGCACCCCAGAGAGAAGGGATTGCTCACGGTTTTCAAAATAGAATCGATGAAAGTCCAGGCCCTCGACCAGGTTCCCCAGGGCCTCGGGTTCGAAAGCTGTCATCCCGGGGTCACACATCTTCCTGGAGGAAGGAAACCAGAGGAGACAAGGGTCTGAGAAGATGACTTCCCCTTGTCCCCTGGAGGGTGAGCCGGTGAATGGGAATGCCCACACCTTCCTCGAGGGACCAACAAAGGAAGAATTTGCACACCGTCGAGTGTGGAGCAGGACTTAGGGGGTGCGGGCTACATCCAGGAAGCCCAAGTTCAGGCCCTGGTTTTCCTACTTACTGATGACAAGGTCACCAGCGTGTGTGTCCCTCTGGGAGCGAAGAGTACCAGGAGGGGGTGAAGCAGTCATGCTAAGCAGCCTGCTCCTAATTCTCCATACTACACTCTCCCCAGCAGTGACCCAAGGGGCTTTTCCTAACGTGTCTCTTGGGGTGTAGGAGTAAGGTGCCTTTTCCTTTCCAACAAGGGACCTCAGCTCCCCAAGTCAGGTGTGTACGTGGAGGAGGTGCATTGAACTAATTTGGACAAGACCACCCTATGGCTGGAGCACCCTGACGGGTGCCTCTGCTGTACATGAGGAAAGAGTCTTAAGCTGCTGTCCATGGGGCTGGAGAGATGGCTCAGCAGTTCAGAGCACTGGTGGTCCTTCCAGAGGACCTCGTTCGATGGTGGCTCACAGCCATCTGCAACTCCAGGCCCTCTTCTGGCCTCTACAGGTACCGAGCAATAGACATGCGTGTAGGCAAAATACCCATACACACAAAATAATACATTTTAAGGAAGTGATGTTGAGGAGAGAGTAGAGGATAGGCTGGGTAGACCCTCGGAAAAAGGGAGGTTGTATGTTTTCAGCTGACTGACCCCTTCCAGGTGTCGGTCTTCCGGAGTGACTGCTAAGCATATAAGGTCGCAAATGAAGAGCCATTTACAAACCTGGAGGACTTTTTGAGGTACAACATAAACCCCTGTGACCATAGCAAAGAAGCCCGGGACAGGAAATGCCCCTGCACAGGCTTAAGCTTCCGGTCCACACTAGAACTGGAAATCTCAGAAGAGGACAGCAGGCCCGGCCTTGCCTGAGATGAACAGAGCCTTGAGGTCCACCCCTGCTGCAGGATGTCATGAAGGGTTGTCTGGGCTTTGCATCCATGAAGGACTCGAAGGCTATCTGCTCTAAGTGTGTCATGCATATGTAGAAGCTGGGGCTCAGGGAGTTAAGGGAACATGCCAGGCTATATTCCAGGCACCACAGGCCCCAAGGAAGGCCATGGGAAGTTTCAGAGCCTAGAGCAGGCTGAAAATGCCATCCTAGCCTGTAACATTATAGAGGAGGAGGCCCCATGACACCCAGAGAGGTCTCCTCACAAGCTCTTTGCTCCCTGGCTGTGGTTTTGCAGAGTCACTGACCTGATTTATCCTGACCAAGCATCTTTAGGGCTACTCAAAAAGACTAGTGACAGAGCCTGCTTCCATGCTAAGCTCTGGCACGCCCACCTGTACACACGCCTTCTGCATATACTTATAACTTGTGTACATGCAAGTGCACGTACAAGCCTATGTATAGTATGTGAGGACCCTGGGCTTTCACATATGCCTCTCGAGTACCTTGTTCCTCCAGAGAGAGCCAGTGACTTTCCAATGACTGAATGGTTAGAATGCACAATGCAGCTTCAGGTGGCCTGAGATCACGCCAGCCAGGCTGTTCCTACCTCACATTAGCCCCACAGGCAAAAGGGTCACTCTGTTTTGGTTGGAAGATTTTGCCCAACAAAAAGTAGGTGTGGGCTTGCCAGGTCCAGACAGTCCCCATCAGCCCTGGTCAAAATACCAATGTCTACACCTAAAACATCCATTCTCTCCAGGCCAGGCAGTGTGATGACCACTGGGGGGCGCTAAAGCCCAATTTATGCACACAGCCGCCCCTCCATGGGCTGGAGCAGGTGTGTAAGCAGAGGTTATTCTGTTTAAGACTGTGTGCCTTATTCCCCAGAAAGTTTAAGGTTTACTTTCTAACTCTTGCTCATTGATGGTGTACACCCTTTGGGTCCCTGTGTCCCTGCTCATTTGAGGTCAAAGACCTGTGACTATCCAGGGAAAGTACTCAGACCCGCTGGGCAGGATGGAGAAGGGCCTGTCTCCATTCCCTCCTTTCCATGCGAGGGCACAGACCACCTTTCTTCTGGGGAGTGGGGGAGACAAAGCAGCTTTATTGGAGCTCCTCCTGGGATCAGGCTGGCAGGGAGAGGAACAGGTAAGTGTATGAGCACCAGGCTGCGTGCAGAACAGAACAGAACAGAACAAAACAGAACAGAAGGGGGTTCCGTCTCATTCGCAGCACATGCAGAGTGAGTAGGCTCGTCACCCACGGTTAGCACCCCTGAGCCCAATCCAGGCAGAGCATGCAGAATGAGCCTGGCTAACTCACGTGTAGGATTCAAAATCTCCATTGCTTATGGCTTCAATCAGCTGCTCTGTCACTTTTATAATTTCCTGTTTGCGCACTGTAAGGTAGGAGGGGACACAATAATAACAACAGTGACAGTCAGGAAGGGCCAAGTACCAGCTTCCGAGTCCCCAGCATGTGCCAGGCAGGCTCTGAGGTGATCTGACACTGTGTATAGATGATCTCACCCACCCTTTGTTGTCCCTGGGGGAGAGACACCATTAGCCCCATTTCACACAAGAGGCTGAGGCTCGAAGTGGGGGAAGTGTAGTTCCAGGAGCTACAGAAGGCAGAGGCATTACCTCAGCTGGCAGCCTTGACCTCCAAACACCATGGTGAGCATTCAGATTCTAGGTCTTGTTTGAAGCCGGTTTTTTACTCCAAAATAGCCATCTTGATTTGCCATGGGAATCAGAGCAATGCTACATGTTGCCTGATTACTGGCTTCCACAAGCCAGGGCTCCCCCCCAGGCAAACAGAGGAGTGCCTCTGAAGATACTCATCCCTTATTGTCTGGGCAGTTTTCGCTCAATCTGAGTGACTGTAAGATTCTGGCAGAGTTGTCTAGAACCTTCTGGGGTTAACTGTTTTCTGAAAAACAAAAGCTGATTTTCTGGAAGAGGGTTAGGGGCCAGCCCCCTTATTAGATATGTGGATGCCTGACCCCCCAGCATTCCCACCCGCGGAACGAGATTCACTGAGAGCTAGTTGGTAGCGCCGAAAACTCGGGTTTCAATTCAAAACAGAACTATATCCAAACCCCGGTTCGGGCCCTTGTGGGCTGTGGTGGCTGAGGGCCACAAGACTGACTGGCTTGTCAGATGGAGGGAGAGAAAGTGTCCTCCTCCCAGAGCTGTCTGAGGGTGGGAGGGAGCAGGAAGCCCGTCTCACGGCAGGTGCTCACGGTAAGCACAGCCCACACTTCTGCTTGCCTTCCCTGCTCCCCAGACCCCTAACAAGCAGGGAGCACAGACAACTGACCCTCGATAATGAAGGAATCTGGGCCCCAGTGCAGCCGAACGGATGGCGTCTTAGTGAGTCCTGGGCGGACCCTCTCCCTCCTCCAGTTCTCCCCCAAACCCGGCCACTCCGCGGTGAGGCAGAGGTCACACTGCCAGGGAGTGGTCCAGCGGGTCTCGGCATCTCCCAGCCTCAGAACCAAGCCTGGGGGAATCTCCCACTTGCCTTTTTTCTTGCCAGCTGCCTACGCTGCCTCAGCCTCCCATCTCAGACCCAGGGGAGACGGACTCTGAGGGCATCCAGGCTGGAAGAGCTGCAGGCCAGAAACCTAAACTCCTCTCTGAACTACTGAGGAAACAGAGGCCTGGTGAGGCTCACAACTTGCCCACGGGCATGGCTCACTGCCCAGGACCTTTTCTAGGGGACTCTGGTGACTCAGCCCACATGTTTGCACCCCATGTTCTCATAACACTAACCCCACACAGCTGCTTGGCACTCACTACCTGTCTCTAAACTCGGTGCCAGCCAATGGAGGTGGGGCCAGGGCTTCCTTGAAATCTGGAGCTGGCATGACCCCTCCAGGCTACAGTATAGCCTGAGCAAGTGAGTGTGCACAGCTGTGGCCAGGGACTCAGCCTGTGGAGTTTCACACCACAACTGAACTCTTCCCACATCTCTACCTAGCATAGCCCTTGGCATGTAGTGTGTGCTTGGCAGAGGGAACAATGTTCCAGCAACGTAGTCACCACAGAGCTCTCAGCCAGCTTGCCCTGATTGGTTGGAATCTCCCATGCTGGGAATGTGTATCAGGTCATGAGTGTCATCCATCATTAGGGTCGTTCTCCTTTTTTCAGGAGCCCACGGGGGACAGAAGTTGTACCCAATACACATATGAAGAGTGAATGAATGAATGAATGAATGAACGAATGAATGAGCAGATGGTTCCAAAGCAGAGTCTTGGCTGTCATCTTTGCCTTGTCTCTGGAATTGCCCAAGTCGCCTCTACACCTGTTCTTAGGGGTTTTAGAACCTGGGCTCCTGGTCAGCTCTACCATCCTTTGCAAAAGCAGAGATGGGTCATGGGACAAGTGGGCTTTGCCAGCAGGGACTGCAGACTAGCCACTCCTCCACGGGACCAGAGGGGACAATGCAGAACAAACCCATGTACTCCTTACAGGCTGTGGAAGCCGAGCTCTCGCCTGTGCCCTGGGACCCTCCAGCATGTCCTTCCACGAGTGTCCCCTTCGCATCCTTCCTCCTGCAGGCTGCTTCTTGCTGCCATCACAAGGAGTGTGGCAAAGTGGTCCAGACCTTGGGCTCTGGAGTCAAACTCCCCAGGCTTAGATTCTTGTTCCGTCACCCCATAGCTGCAAGGGACTGCCTTGGAGCTCAGTTTCCCCATACAGATAATGGAAGTAGCAGTAGTACCTACATTTTCAGGTTATTCTGAGAATCAGTAGAAAGAGTGTTCACTTGCAGGCCCTACCTGGGAGCACCTGTGTTCCACGCATAAAATATCAATGCATCATTTGAGTGATAGTATCTGAACTCAAGAATCAGAGCTAGGCCTGGCACTCACTAACAGCCGTCATACCTGTCATCTGCAAACTGGGAAGCAGAAGCTTGTCCAAGCCCCGTATCAAGGCTCCAGATGGGCCGCGTGCTTCCTGGATGTCTAAGTCATAGGACACAGTCGTACTGGAGTTACGGGCTGCAGCGACCACCACTCTGTTAGACAGACCTGACCATGTGTACCTCCTGGGCTTGGGGCCTTCCAGGCTGAAGTTTACCTCTGAAAACTCCTACACGTAGGAGCTCCTCTTTCTGCTTCCTGGGGTCCCCAGTCTCCATCCTCCACTGACCAGGCCTCTTCTCTGTGACACAAGGTCACAGACGGTACAGTATTAGGTCTGCAGTCACAATGGACATTGTACTTTCATGAATTCACTGCTAGGTGGACCTGGCTTGGTTATGCCATCAGATACCAGGACACCGAGTTTTCCCAGAATATCCCAGGCTTTGTTCTCTGGGATGGAAGACCTGGTGGGAGCCTGGTGCTTGTGGAGCTGAAGGCCGTTTGGATAGGGAACTTCCCAGAACTCCAGCAGCTCCTATTGCTTTGCAAGCATTTTTCCAGCTGTTTACTTCATACCGCTGGCTAGTCTCCTCACCCAGATGATCTGGAATATTCCTCTACAGATAAGAAAACCAAGGCCTATAGAGATTAAGAAAATCTCTTGGCCAGGTAGTGGCGGCGCAAGCCTTTAACCCCAAAACTTGGGAGGCAGGAGGATCTCTATGAGTTTGAGGCCAGCCTGGTCTGCAGAATGAGTTCCAGGACAGTCAAGGTTACACAGAGAAACCCTGTCTTAAAAAACCAAAACCAAAACCAAACAAACAAAAACTCTCTTAAGATGACACAACACTCAGCTGGGGCCTACACTCCTGACTAACACTTCCTAGTGTCTACCCATCTTCTAGGAGAAGCTCTTTAGTGTGGAGAGAGAACAGGTTTGCACTCGGAGGCCAGGGCATGGAGAGGAACCCTGGCAGAGCGTGGCACAGCTCAGAGAGCAGGGCCCTGCCCAAAGTCCGAACTCTCGAGTCCCTTCCTTCCCTCTGGGATGCTCTGACGATCACATTTCCAATTAACTGTAACACTGGGTCAGAGTCCACCAAGCTGACTACTCTTCTCACTTGGTAAGAAGGCTTAACAGGTTAAGGTCAGAAAAGAGCATGGTACTCTGGGATCTTCCTCTGAGCTGGGGGTAGGGGTGGGGCTGGATATAAGGGCTTTTCTCTACTCTTCCAGGGAACCACTTTCAGAACACCTCCTCATACATGAGGAGGGGAAGCTGGGCAGGGAACAGGTTCCCAGGTCTTCAGCTAGTAACCATGATGGTTAATCATGATACTCAAATGGACAGGATTTAGAATTACCACAGAAACACCCCTGAGGGTGGCCCTGAAGGCATTTCCACAAAGGTTCTCCTGGAGAGGGAAGGTCCACCCTGAATGTGGGTGGCGTCATCCCATGGCCTGACTGGAAAGGAAAAATGGAGCCGAGCATGGGCAGCTGCCTCTGTTTCCCAACTGCTGTCTCCTGGGCAGCTGCCTCTGTTTCCCAACTGCTGTCTCCTGGGCAGCTGCCTCTGTTTCCCAACTGCTGTCTCCTGGGCAGCTGCCTCTGTTTCCCAACTGTTGTCGTCTTCTGACTGCAAGTTCAACGACCCCTCTGCCTTACACTCCCACAGCCATGACTGCCCACCACAATGGATGGTGTGCTCAAACTACCAGCCAAAACAAACCTTCCTTAAATTGCTTTTGACAGACTATTTTGCCACAGTAACAGGAAAAATAACTAACACCATAACCCATGTGGGCCTTTCCTCCCTCTACATAAAGGGGGAGAAGCAAATTAAAATCCGAGACACACTGTTTCCCGGATCCCGTATAGGGGAGGAGGTTGTTGCAAATGCGAGGCCTCATGGTATAGCCCGCAGTCACCATCCAGGTGGAATAGATCACTGACAGCTCCTATTTACATTACCAGTACACACACATTTTGTATTCCGTTCCAAATATTCTGTCTGTTTAACATAAAAATATTTGTCTTAAAATAGTGTTTGAATCAAATTGACACTCCAAGAAAATGCCATGGGGCTTCCTGTCACTCAGCCACAAACTCCAGTTAGAAAAAAAAAGAAATGAAGATTTCTTTAAACAATCACCGCATGCCAAATGCTGTGCGTGTACAGTATGTGCAGCTGTCATTCCATCTGCACAGGAACATCAGAAGTTGGGACTATTATCATAACCTGTTTATTATTAAGGAAACAGGCTCAGAGAGGTTGAATAAGTTGCCAAAGGTCACCCAGCCAATGGAGTACAGAGCCCAATCACCTCCATGGTCTCTACCTGAGCTAAGGCCGTCTCTTCACACTGGGGCTGAGAGTCTCCCGTATGGTGACCGTCAAAGAAGCGACCTAAGACCTGGGGTAGGGCTGGGCATGCCCTAAGGACAGACTCAGTGACTGAATGATGAGCGAATGCTAGCAGGCAGTTCTCTAAGAGAATACATTTGCAAGGTTGTCCATGAGCCATGACAGAGAACCATTTACTGGCTTCCCCCAACAATTTGGGAATGACCAGACAGGGACATCGACAGACAGACTTTCTCGCAGGTCCCTGCAAGATCAGACAGCGATCACACTGCATGAAAACTGCCTGCAAGCCCTCCATTGCACCCCGCACCCCATTACATTATAAAATGCTTGTCATATAAACACAATCTCCTTTTCCCCCAGTGTTAGGGATCAAACTCAGGGCTCCTGCATGTTAGGCAAGCGCTCTGTCACCAAGCCACTACACTCACACACACACACACACACACACCAGCAAAATATCTAAAACCCTAAAAAAAAAAAAAAGAAAGAAAAGAAAAATTGTCTCAACCAGTACAGCTGAGATTCCTCCAGGCCAGCAACCCTTTTCTGTATTTCAACAACCCCTCCCCACGGGATCTCTCTGGCTCCTTCCGAAGCCTGCAGACGGCTGAGTTGGGAAATGCGAGAGTACTGGTGCAGGAGGAACCATAGGACTTTGCTACCCATCAAGGATCTGTGTTTTCCTGGGCAGAATCTCGGCACACTGCTCCTCCCCAGAATACCTCCCCCGAGGCCTGCATCTGCTCGCCAGGATCCAGACTGCCTGGGGCCAGATCCCAGCCCCACCTCTAGCCAGGTTCCCCAAATTCTCCATTCTGTATTCTCGGCTGGGGAAGAGGGTTCATGGAAGGGTAAGTTGTGAGACTGTGGGGAGCCTTGGGTCAGTGGCTCTCAACCTGTGGGTCGCGACAATATTAAATGTCATGTTATTAAATGTCCTGCATATCAGATATTTACCTTATGATTCGTAACACTAGCAAAACTACAGTTATGAAGTAGCAACGAAAATAATTTTGTGGTTGGGGGTCACCACAGCATGAAGGACTGTATTAAAGGGTTGCAGCATTTGGAAGGTTGGGAACCGCTGCTCTAGGTCTGCTCTTTTCACACTGTGAAATAATGTTATCATCGGCAATGTTCGTGAGCAAGAACTACGCAATACAGCCACAAAAGTTAAATAAACAAAACAAAACAGAAAGAGTCACTTTTGGGGACTGGAGGGATGGACAGAAGACCCAGGTTCAGTTCCTACAACCCACATGGATGCTCACATGCATAACTCCATTTTCAGAGAGTCCAGTGCCCTCCTGTGGCCTCCGAGGGTACCACACAAGCACTCAGCACGCTTACACATGTAGCCAAAGTATTGATACACATAAAATTAAATGAATCTTTTAAAGATGTCATGCTTTAAGTAGGTTTGTGATTTTGTGTTGGGACATGTTCATTGCTATCCTTGGCCACAAGTGGCCTGCAGGCTGCAGATTGTACACAAAGCACCTGTTGGTCCAGAGGGAACCCTCGGTTTATTTAACAAGTGTCCACGAACCGAAGACAGGTCATCTTGCTATTTCCTTTCTCAGGACTCCTGTTCACATAGAGCTCTTTGCTCCCTTATCCATCTGCTGGGGTGCTACGAGCCCAGGCTTCAGCATGCAGGTCTCTGCTCACACAGCTTCTGCTGTCTCTCCATGCACTGTGACTGCAGCCGTGGCACCCCAGCTGGCTGACCGGGGCGCCTCTCAGAACAATCGGCCATGAGCTACAAAACCCTGCATCTGTAGTTTAGCTGGTCTTTGGTTTTTGACTTCACATGCTCCAGCTGACTGAACTTTCTGGGTTTTGTTTTCTACTCCTTTATTCTTATTGCTTCATGTTTTAAAAATGAAGTCAGTTTTAAAAAAAAACTAAAATGACTTATTTCAAAAAGAAAATTTATGGTGTTCCTATGTGTCTCTGGCTTAAACGTTATTTTTTTCCCCTCTAGTAGGTGGTGAAATAAATCCAGACAATAATTTAAGTACCCCCAGTGCTGGGCACTGTCCAGGGAAGCCATGTCCTGTTTATGAGAAGCAAAATCCAGGCTATGGCGGTGGGAGCCGCCGTGAGGGGTCTGCTGGGCAGGCCACCCTACCTTTGGTGTCTTCATCCTCGATGGTGGTGTTGGCACTCTCGGAAGACTCCTGCCAAAGAGAAGAGGGAGGCGGTGAGGAGGGTCTGACGGAGGGAGGGGCTGGGTCAGGTTGGCGACCTGGCTGCCTGGTGACTCGCTGGGCTCTGTGGCTTCCCAGGCTCTGACGTCCGGATGCTTTAGACAACTCCTACCAGACCCTCCAGCCTGAGGGGACCCAGCTAAGCAGGTGGCTGAGGCGGGGCCCCTATGAAGCGGTACCTGCAAGGAGATCCCCGGCCTCTCAGGAGGACTGAGAGGGGCTTCCTGGGTCCTTTCTGCTCGGGGGACAAAGAAGGGGTGAGAAGAGCAGAAAGACACCATGGGAGCCACAGGACGGGGTGAGGAATACACACACCGGCAGGAAAAGAAGAAGGAGAGAGGCAGGCCCAGTGTGAGAGAGGGTGGGCTTTTCAGAGGGGAGAAAAACCGCGCAACCGAGACAGCCATGGAACCAGAAGACGAGGGGCGTGGGCCACCGTGTCACCCCTGGCACTCTTGACAGAGGCAGGGCTGCGGTTCCTCTGCTGGGTGGCCTGCCCAAGCTCAAGGAGCCTCCGTGATGTCTGCTGCTTTGGCCAAACCGAGCCCCACCCTAGCAGCAAAGGCACAAACCAAGCCCTGAGATGAGCTCCTGAGCAGAGGGCGTGGGACAAGCAAGAAGCCAAGGGCTGGACTTGGTTCAAATCCACCTTTGGACTGGAGGAAGGCCTTGGATCTGCTGTTGGCCTGCTGGTCTGGGCCGTGGAATTGGACGTGTCAACAGAAACACGCAAACAACACACACACACACAACACACACATATTGTCGCACAAGGCACACGTACCACGCATGCCCTGAACACTCTCTCCCCGCCCCGGGTTCCTGTGCAGCCTGCAGGAGGGAGGCAGGAGCGAGGGAGCGGGGGTCTGAGGCCCAGCATTTACCGGAGTTTGGGAGACGGCGGACACTCACCATTAACTGAACGCTGGAACTGGACTTTCTTTTCTGGAAAAACAAGGAGAAGAGATGGGACAGGAAAAGACACCGCGTGAAAACAGCAGGGAGGTTGGGAAGGAGGGTGGCCTCAGGGCCGTCCTGTGTGGTCCTTTCTGGTCAGCATGTAGCTTGGCAAGCTCTGGGTCCTCAAACACCTGTACCTGGCTCTACCAATCTAACATCCAAGTTTGAGGCCAAGCCTGCCTTCGACTAGGGCGGTCTACCATGCCTCACTCTGACAGGAAAGTTTGTCTTGGCTCTTAGATGCTGACTGTCTGTTCTTTTTAGGGGGCAGTGGGGTGCTCAGATGTGGACATGAGCCCCAGACTCTCCATGCATGTCTGGTTAAGCAGACCCCACTCCAGGCATCCTGTCACTGGGGAGACTTGCCTTTTTATTTTTGTTCCTTCTGAAACCCAAGGCCTTATGTATACCTGGCAGCTTCTCTGTCACTGAGCCCTACACAGAAGCAGGTCCCCTCTAAGGACTTTGATTAAGTCTTGGCGGGACTAGTCCACTTTCAAGAACACTCTCAGGTGACCCCGGGGGCACCTTTGCCATCCTGTTTGGGTTCACAGCCTCTCAGCGGTTGTGCTATTTGGCTCCTTTAGGCTTATAGAGAAACTGAGGCACAGTCAGAAGTCTGGAACCTGAGTCTGGTGGCTCTGACAGTTGACCTAATCTAATCTCTGTGGACTGCACCATCCGTGTGCTAGCTTTGGGGTCAGGGAAAGGGGCAGGAACAACGGGCTGCTTCTCCTTCACTCAGTCCTCAAAGCCAGGGCTGAGGGACACTTACATCCAGAGAAGACAAATGGGGGTCCTAAGAGGCGGGCAGTCTTCATAGGCTCTCTCAGAAGTCAATAGCTGTGCTAAGGAAAACACAGGTGCTGGGGACTTCTGCCCAGGACTCCAAACATTCTCTCCTCAAAGGTACAGGTTATCTTAGATCCCTCCCTTCTGAGAGCCAGGGGTCTTGCCTACAAGCCCATGAAGAAAGTGAAGGAGAGACTTAAAGTTCCCTCCAGTGAGAACTAGATATGCCTTGAGAGACTCAAGTTAGATTTAGGGCTTCCTGCTTTTATAATCTAGTAGGCATTTGTAATGCTAGGGCCTAAACGCGTGTCTTTTAACCACGGCCCCAAACACACACTGGGCAATATACCTCATTGGATGTTTCTATCTCAGGTATTCACGAGGCATGAATGCCCACCTTCCTAAGTCCCTGGGTAGTGTGGCTTCATTGCAAAACACTGCAACTGCTCCTCCTCTCCTCTCCTCTCTCCTCTCCTCTCCTCTCCTCTCCTCTCCTCTCCTCTCCTCTCCTCTCCTCTCCTCTCCTCTCCTCTCCTCTCCTCTCCTCTCCTCTATGCTGGCCTCCCTCCATGGCTGCAGCTTGGCCAGACAGTGTGCAGGGAAGAGGGACAGGCCCATACAGCTCAGTTGTCAGCAGAAACTCAAGGAGACCCCCATGGGCCAGAAGGTTCCAGGTGGAACATGAAAAGGAAACACAGAGCAGAGACTGCGTCAGATTCGGACGTACAGTGACAGGATGGGACATGGGGGAGTCAACAACGGCACGGATGGGACACCAACAGGGCAGTGAGTGAGGTGAGGGGGAGAAGGGGGCTCCTCCTATGGAAACCAAGGCCTAAAGGAGGCCAGGGCTGGACACTGCTTCTTGAGGACAGAGATCCTGTCTCCCAGAATGACAAGTGAGGACGACCAGCTTTTGAGAGTGGCATTGAAAAGGGGCTGTCAGCAAAGGTCGAGTTGCCTCTCTTAAACCACAAAGGAAACTGGTCCCAAGGTTGGCAAGGGTTGCAGAACAGCAGTATAGTCAGTCTCAGCCCTGAGAAGCCTGTAAAGGCTCAAGAAGCTCCTGTCACTCAGGCCCAGCAGCTCCTCCCTTGGTGGCTGAACAGGCACACGATTGTAGAAAGAGCACAGATGTCCTCCCCTTAAGCTGGGTGTGTGTCTGCATGATGCAACTCCCAGGGGTCTCTCTGGTGAGGCCATGTCACCAACCTTTGCAAACATCTACTTTCCTGGTAGAGATGGCAGGACCAGGACCAACCCCTGGAAAGAAGGAACAATGAGGCTCCCATCCAACCCCATGGCTTTTTGACTTGAGGATTTGAGAGCATGTCACTGTCACCTCCTGAAGCCCTGCTGCCCACTCCACTCCATGGAGGAGTCAGGTATAGCGAGCCATTCCCCAAGTTCCAAGCCAGACCCAAATTACTCTTCTCTCCTCCGTTTCTAGGAAAGGAAGGAAGTGGCTAGACTAGGGACAACCTTTGAATTTCTCTTCATCCACATCTAGGCCGCCCTAAGAAGTCACATAGGGTGTGCCCTACCCTGAAGGAAGCAGGGACATTTTGTCCAGCTGTGCTCTCTGGAAAGAAGCCTGGTGACCAGCAGAGCATCATGCTCTAAGTGCTTCTTAGCCTTGGCCATTCCTACCTTCTGCCTCTGTGCGAGAGCAGCTGGATCTCAAGTGTCAGCCCTAACCCTGGCCCAACATGAGCCTCTCCTGACCCCAACCCAGGGGCTCTTCAACCAACTGCCAGGACCAATCCAAGAGCCAGGCAGAGCCAGGGCACCTCTATCTACACATGGAGGGTGGAGAGGGTGCCCGGGCACTTTAGAGCCGCAGTCTCCTGTAGTACATGCCTCTATCACCCATTTCAGGTTGGGAGCAAAACCTGGCTCAAGGACACTCAGACAGCAGACCAGAGTCCACCATAACATGTGTGTTAATTCTATGGCAACTGTGTGTTAACTTCTCGTCTGAGGTGTACAAGTGCTTTCCTGAGCATGATTTGTTTTCGAGAGAAAGCGAAACCCCGATGACTTTACATTGAAGTTGTTGATTTTGCAAGAATCCCAGGACTTTAAAAACTGGGTCTTCTCCTATCTAGTCCTCCTCGACTCCATCTGCTGCCAGAGGAACCTCCCCAGAGTATTTGGGTCCAAAGAATTCATTTTGAAAAGCATTGATTTTTGTCTAATAATCCAATACTGTGTATAATCATGTGTTTTTTTAATGACAAGGACATATTCCGAGAAATGTGTTATGAGAAATCATGTCACTATGCAGGTATCATACAGTGACCTTAGGGCCTATGACATCTCTAGTGCTCCAAGGCTCCAAATCCACACAGCATGTTTCTATACTGAAACCAGCACACATCTGTAATGCATGGTAAGTATTAAACACCTTAACAAATCCAAGCATGTCTAAGTACGACAAAGCCTGGCATAGGGGTGAACACCTATAATCCCAGCCCCCTGGAGGCCAGGCCAAAAACAGAGAGTTTGAGGCTGGCTTGGGCTCTACGGTGAGATCCTATATCACAAAAAGGAAAGGGAAGGAAAAAGTGGGGGAAAGGTACAGTAAAACTGCTGGGCAATAGGAACTTCACGGCTCCACTGTAGTCTTTGAGGATCGCCATGGCATATAAAGTCTGTCGCTGACCAAGCGTCACTACACAGCATGTGGCCACAGCCCTCAAGCACACAAGATGAGAAGGGAGAATGGTTAGATTTGGGAGAAAGGTTGCACTTTGGCATGTTTCCAGAGCTGAAATCTTAGAAATTATCACCAAGTCCACATCCCATCTGAGGCACCTAAGAAGGCGATGGGCAAAGGGGAAGCCCAATTCTGGCCTCACACCCAGCCCAGATTCTCCCCATGCAGTCCCAGGCAGTCCATAGCCATTCTAATAGAAGCTGTGCAGCCGCCAGCACACCCTGAATGGCCTGGGTGGCCATTCAGGACCTCACACCTTCCAACGTCCCAGAATAAGGCGGTCTCCAGAGATGAGACCCTGTGAGGCAGTCAGGTAGCGGGGCCGGGGGCCGGGGGGCAGGGAGGGCTGCAGAGAGCAAAGGGACTAGGCCCCAGACATCAGAGGGAGAAGTGAGAAGAAACAGGAAAGAGGGGCCAGAGAGGGGCGTGGAGAGAGGTAGCTTGGGCATCGGGGTGGGCACAGGGGACAGGCATTGGTGGAGAAGAGGGCCTTCTGGATCCCAAAGCCTGGTGAAGTAACTGCCCATTCTCCATGGATTACAGGCTACACTAGTGGAGGCACAGGCCAGGTCCGTCCAGTCCCTCACACGTGGGCCGGATGAGTTTGCCTTAGTGACCATTTCTGTCCCTTTTGTGTCCTCTTGTTACAGTTCCGCAGCCCCGTAGGGCCCCCAGAGGCTTCATCGAGATCTGCCCCTTTACTGTGCTCCGGGCAACCCAGGCCACCTGCCGTCTCCAGTCTGCTCCCAGCAACCGTGGGAGAGGTGGGCCCTGGAGCACAATCTGGGTGCTCTGGGATTGCTTGGCCCTGGATCTGACATGTCACCATTAGTGAGGCCGGGGCTTGCCCAAGGCCTGACAGCAGGTCTCTGCCAGGGGACAGGCCTGCGGGCTCCTGGGGACTTACCTTCACACCATCGTTCTTCTTGTTCCCTCCGCTCTTCCCTCCTGTGGAGGAGAGAAAGTAGAGCGTTAGCAACACCAGGCAGGGCACCAGGGCCCACAGGGTGAGGAAGAGCAGCATTAGCGCCCAGCAGAGCGGCCGCGGGTGGTGGAGGGTAGGCTGTCTGGGAACAGAGCTGGCTTGGCCACCACAGAGAGGCTTCCTCTTCCTCCTCCTTCCACTCCCTCTTCAACAGCCCAGCAGAGTGGGCCTGCGATTCTCGGGGATAGCCCTGTGACTTCGGGGCTTGGAGAGGTGTCCAACGTGTCCTGGGACTGTGGGGTTGCTGTTTGAGCCTGGGGATTCCCTCTGGATCCCTGTCATCAGTGCTGCTGGTGGCCAACTCAGAGGTCCGCAGCTGGATTGCGGGCTGGAAGCTCCTGCTTTGGCCCCCACCTGCCCTGGCCCTCTCTAATTTTAGCCCCATGTTGCTGCTGAGGTCATGTGTCAGCCCTGCCTACTCGCTCTGGACAGCTGCAGACTGCATTTTGCTGGTGACAAGAAGCAGATGTCCCCTGCTGGGGCCCACCCCTCCCACAACACTCATTCCATGCCTTTCCTCTCAGCACCATGGGCCTGAGTTCAACCTCTGGAATCCCACTCTAGGGCTGGCTGAGTCCTGGTGGTAGACAAAAAAACCCAGCCACCGTTCCCTCGGAGTCTGGGACCATGCATTTCCCTTTCCCTCCCGCGTTTCCTGACTGGAGCCCTGGCAATCGGTGGGCATGAGCCAGAAGGTAGCATGAATGCCCAGCCCTTCCCTGACTGGTACTTGGCCTCTTCAGACGTTTCAAAAGTGCTTTAAATGAGACATGGCTCTATGAAGCGCTTAGCACAGCATTTAGGATATATATAGTCGGGCCCTCGGTGACATTTATGATTTGTCCTTCTCTAGGAATCCCCGAGAAGGTGAACTGGGGATGGGGGTGGGGGCGTTAAGGGAACAGGACACTGATGCCCGGGGGGCTATGAGTGATGTGTTCATGGATGCCCCAGCTCTCAGTCCCTTTATAACTTTACCTGGGACCTCTCAAAACTCCCCGGGGTAGAGGTCATTTCTGCGTGCCAAGCCTGGAAGGACTGGTGTCTGTCTCTCCAGGCTGTGCATGTGGGACTGCACAGCAGGGGAGGGTGCTCACCATGGAGGCTCTCCACTCCAGGGGAGAGAGCTCACCATGGAGGCTCTCCACTCCAGGGGAGAGAGCTCACCATGGAGGCTCTCCACTCCAGGGGAGGGTGCTCACCATGGAGGCTCTCCACTCCAGGGGAGGGTGCTCACCATGGAGGCTCTCCACTGCAGGGGAGAGAGCTCACCATGGAGGCTCTCCACTCCAGGGGAGGGTGATCACCATGGAGGCTCTCCACTCCAGGGGAGGGTGCTCACCATGGAGGCTCTCCACTGCAGGGGAGGGTGCTCACCATGGAGGCTCTCCACTCCAGGGGAGGGTGCTCACCATGGAGGCTCTCCACTCCAGGGGAGGGTGCTCACCATGGAGGCTCTCCACTGCAGGGGAGGGTGCTCACCATGGAGGCTCTCCACTCCAGGGGAGGGTGCTCACCATGGAGGCTCTCCACTCCAGGGGAGGGTGCTCACCATGGAGGCTCTCCACTCCAGGGGAGGGTGCTCACCATGGAGGCTCTCCACTCCAGGGGAGGGTGCTCACCATGGAGGCTCTCCACTCCAGGGGAGGGTGCTCACCATGGAGGCTCTCCACTCCAGGGGAGGGTGCTCACCATGGAGGCTCTCCACTCCAGGGAGGGTGCTCACCATGGAGGCTCTCCACTCCAGGGAGGGTGATCACCATGGAGGCTCTCCACTCCAGGGGAGGGTGATCACCATGGAGGCTCTCCACTCCAGGGGAGGGTGCTCACCATGGAGGCTCTCCACTCCAGGGGAGGGTGCTCACCATGGAGGCTCTCCACTCCAGCCCACTGTCATAGAGGTTTGGGTCCAATGTAGCTAGACCCTGATTTTCTTTTCTTTTCAGAATAGGCCCAGACTGGCCTTGCTTGACTGTGTGACTTTCTTCTGATCTTCTCGCCTCCAGCTCCTAAAGCCCGGATTGCAGCCGTGTGCCACCACACACAGGCGCGGCTGATTATCTGTTTGTTTGTTTGTTTTGTTCTGTTTGTCTTTCCAGACAAGGTTTCTATGTGTAGTCCTGGCTGTTCTGGGTGGGACTCATTCTGTAGACCAGGCTGCCCTTGATTCTTATTTGGAACTGGAGAAGAACTCAAGGCTTCAACCTTTAATCCCAGCACTCAGCAGGCAGAGGCCAGTGGATCTCTATGAATCTGAGGCCAGCCTGGTCTACATAGAGAAACTCTGTCTCAAAAAAAAAACAAAAACAAATAAACAAGAACTCAAGGCTTCATGCATGCTAGGCAAGCACTTGATAATGTAAACTACATCTCCAGTTTCCAGATTGATTTTCAAAAGATCACAGAAATATCTCTCTCTCTCTCTCTCTCTCTCTCTCTCTCTCTCTCTCTCTCTCTCTCTCTCTCTCTCTCTCTCTCTCTCTCTCTGTGTGTGTGTATGAGAAATCTCTTGATTTATTCTTGTGGAAAGTTGATATGTGTTTGTCCGTGTGTGCACATGTGTATGCTAGAGGCTAATGTTGGATATCTCTCTTGATCATATTTTCCCTTTTTCTTTTGGACAGGGTCTAGAACTTCCTATGTAGAACAAGCTGACCTCAAACTTACAGAGATCCAACTACTTCTCTGCCTCCTGAATGCTGGGATTAATTAAAGGCATTTTGCTTTTTGAGACAGGGCTTCTCACTGAACCTGGAGTTTACCTATCTGCTAGACTAGCTGTCCTGCTAACCTTATCTCTGCCTCTCGGTGTTGGGATTCCAGGCAGGTACTGACACAGTTAGCTTTTCACATGGGTGCTGGGGATTTGAACTCAGATCTTCATGCTTGTCTAGCAAGCATTTTATCCACTGAGCCATCTCCCCAGGCCCCAAATCTTTGATTTTTAATGATTAGAAATCTATTTCCCCAATTTTCTTTTCTTTCTTCTTTCTCTCTCCTCTTCCCTTTTGTATTAGAAACCAAAATCCGGTCTAAAAATCCTTCTTCTTTTAAAAAAATAGTTATGTATGTGTGTTTTTGTGAATTTATGTGTAGCACATGTGTACAGGATCCCATGGAGGCCAGAAGAGAGCATTGGATCCCCTAGAATTGGAGTTACAGGCAGCTGTGAGCCTCCATTGGGTTCTAGGAGCCAAGTCTGGGTCCTATGCAAGGGCAGTAAATGCTCCCAACTGCTGAGCCATCTCTCCAGCATTCCTCTGCCACTCTCAGAACAAAACAAAACAAAAAGCCCACTTCTCTTACACAGCCCTGGCTTACCAAGCCATGGGCCCCTGCTCTATGGGCTTGAGACTGGTATTCCCCAGGGTGCTATAATTGCAAAACAACCAAACAAAATAAACCCTGTCGGTGCAGCTCAGTTTTCAGTGCTCAGTGACAGGAACGGCCAGATCCATGACGGAAGAGAGTTCAGTGTGGATGAAGACCACTTCTGAAGCTGGGGCTTCTCCTGGTCGTCACATACGCAGGCCCTCCTAGGGGACCCAGGCCTGCGCCCTGCTCAGAAGTGACCCCTGGGCTCCTCCAGTGAGCTCTGTGGCTTCTACCGTCTATATCTGCTCTGCTGCGCTGTCAGCACCCAGGCCTCCCTAGGGAGAGACCTGAAGCGGCGCTGGCACATCGCTGACCCATGTGCCAAGTGGAGTCGCTAAGCTCTGACAATAATCCCCTTCCCTCCTGTTTGGAGCTACATGCCCAGCGACTTGGCCACTCCCTGCCTGGGAGTCTCCTGCCCTGGGCTCCTGGGTAACCCAGCCTGGATAAAACCACCTGCTCTGAGTTGGTCAGACCTGTGCTGAGGACAGGGTCTGCCTCTCTTGAGTTCTGAGACCTGGGGGGAGCCAGAGCACACTTAAGCTTTTGTCACCCTACCCTGGGAAAAAGTGCCACCCCACTGTCTTGTTGTGAAGCAACTTGAGCTGAAGCCAAGTGCCTGTTGGCATACAGCTTTAACAACAGTGCCCCCTAAAGTCTGACTCCTTCCTGCTGGACTAGATTGCAGTAACTGTCTGCCCTTCTGGCTGGCCTAGCCTGAGAACCCAGCGCTGCTGTGGACTGGGAAGCCAGACTGAACCTCTAACTAGGCCTCGGTTTGCTGACTCCAATCCCTTCTTTCCTTTCTCCGCGCCAATTGTGATGGGCTAAGGAAGCCTGGATCGTGGTATCTTCTGCAGCCCTGTGTCTGGGGACACCCAGCTACCCAACAGTGTAATGGCATCCAGCAGACCGGTGCGGGATGGACCGGGGACTCTGGCCCCAGCACCTACCGGAGAAGTTCCTGGTGGCCAGCATAGTGGTGAGGATGGCTCCCTGCAACAGACAAGATGGGCCCAAGAGAGGCACAGGTGAGGAGAGGAGCATGGGGAAAGAGCAGGCAGTGTGCCCTTCAGAGTCCAGCCAAAGCCTCCGCCCCTTCCCCTCCACTCAGCCCCACCCCACCCTCTAGCCCAGAGCCCATCCACTCTCCCTGGAGGAGAAGCTTTGGCAGGCACAGATTCTGAGACAGCAGCAGACATTAGCAGGTCCCATAGTCTGGCCCAAACTAGTGGACTCTAAAACACTCTAGCAGGGCCTCCTAAAGGCTACAGAAGTTTCCTGCCTGGGTCAGGAAGGCAGAGAATGCTTGTGCTGCTAGACTTGGCAGACCTCACTCCAGAATGAGTTCTTCCCTCCATGGTCCCTGGACCCTACCCAGGAGGGCATTAACTCAGAGAAGCCCTTTCTCAGTTGGTGAGGGGCTGGAAACCAGGGCCCGAATGGTCCTCGCATTGTCTCATTAAAACCTGACTTCTTGTACCGTCTCAAATCCAATAACCCCTCCAGTGAAGAATCCCTTATTCCCACGCTGGGAAACGTCCTTCTTCTGAGACACTTCCTCCTGGGGTGGGAGTGCGACTCAGTTTCTCTGACTTCATGCCAGTCATCACCCCTTTGGCTCAAGTCCCCATCTTAGCTTCCATTCCAGTTCTGGGAGCAGTAAGCAGGTGAGTCAAAGCCTCCACATCCGCCCTCTCTGTCCCCATCAGGCACACTGACAGCCAGCAATCATGGAGAAGCCTTAGCCTGGCGGGTACAGGACCTGTTGAGAAGGCTCAGCTCGGGAGCCACTTTGATTCTGTAGTGGCTTGCTCAGGCCCCCTAACCTATCCCTGATGGACTCATTCTTCCTCCTTGCTCAGCAACTGGGGTTCTCTCTCACTCAACTGTGGTGTCATGTCTATCACATGTTGTCCCCCCCCCAAACAATCTCTTAAACCATCCGTGGCCCCCTAGAGAGTAGTGCTCACAGGTGCAGACATCTGTACAGGCAGTCTCTCTGTCTGGAACATGCCTCTCCCTCTTGTCACTCTACACCTATTTGTCCCAAAGAGGTAGCTGAAACGCCACTGCCTCCAGGAAGGCCTCTTGAAATCCTTCCCAGAATCCTCCAGACCCGGGAATGCCATCGCCCTGCTCTGTGTTACCCACCGTCAGGCACAGTACTCACCATGCCCCAGCAGAGTCCTGCCTGTATGTCCCCTCAACCAGAGTGCAGACAGGGTGGGTTGGGGTCAGATTTGCTGCTCACTCCCCAAACCCTCGGTGGCCAGTGTGCAAGAATGCACAGTAGACACACATGAAACTGATGAAGGATGTGAGTAGTGAGTCCAGGGATGCCAAGGACAAGGACCGGTTACCTTCAGTTTCCTCCTGGCATTGAACTTCTTCAGGCAGTCCACGGTCTCCTGTCTGTGCATGCAGGAGGCCACAGTGGAGCGGTGCTGGAGAGAGGGTGAGAACTGTGTGAGTGCAGACCGACCCAAGGGCATCGGAGAAGAAATGACATCATCTTAAGGGGGACAATCCTTCATCCCGCCACATGGTGCGGGATGGTTAAGATCCTGGCACCGGCCAGCCAATGCTAGCGACACCACCCAACATGATGTCAATCCAGAATATTCCTCATTCCTATGTTGTCCCTGAGACCCCCCAGTGAGCCAGAGATTCTTGGTTAAGGACCCTCAACTCCACACTGGGGCTGTGGGGTGAAGGACAAGACCCTGAGGGACTAGGCCTCCTGCGTGGGCAGGGCTGAAGATGGAGGCTCACCGAGATCCAGGGGTGCTTGAGGGCCTCAGCAGCCGTGATGCGTTTGGACGGGTTGATGGTCAGCATCTTATTGATGAGATCCTTGGCTTCGGGGGTGACGGTGTCCCATTCTGGCGATGGGAACTGGAAGGGACAGAGGGGCCAGGTTTGCCTAGCCTGCCCCAGGCCACCCCTGCGATCCTCCAACCCCTGACTGGCAGGGGAGCAGGCAGGGGCTCTCGTGCCCAACCACTCAGGCATCCACAAGGTACTCAGAGGCATGGGTACCAGACCCAGACTGCTACACTCTAGTCCCAGTCACTAAGGCTCTTTGTCCTCAACCTCTCTACATGTATAACGAAGGGTAATAGATCATGAATGTGCCATAGATTGGGGTGATGGTTACATGTGATAATACATGCAAAATATTCAGAAGAATGGGACAGAAATTCTCAGTTATTTTAATATATGGAAGGAAAAAATGTAGGCCTCAGAGTATGATGGGAGACAATGACCATCTCAGCACTTGGGAGGTGGGGGCACAAAAATCAGGGGGCCTTGGCTACAGAGTGACTCTCAGACCAGCCTGGTCTTATGAGACATTATCTTTTTAATTAATTAATTAATTAATTATTCATAAATAAATAAAATGCTTGGTGCCTGTCCCTTGCCTCTACCTTTAGTGCTCTATGGAATAAATTCCATGACTTTTAGACCCAAGTCATCAGGCGCCACTTGGTCACAGCCTGACTCTGCCGGTCTGTCTTGGAGCAACCTTGCAGTGATAGAGAGTAGTGTGACCCTAGATCTCTGGTCTCCTAGGCCACTGGCTCTCACCAGAAGGGGAGCATCGGCTGGAGAGAGGAGCAACACTCACATCATAGGCACCAGCTTTGATCTGCTGGTACAGGCGGTGCTGGTCCTCATCCCAGAATGGGGGGTACCCAACCAGCAAGATGTACAGGATGACCCCTGGGGAGAAGAGCAGGAGAGGAGAGATGAAGCAGGAGAGTGACGGAAAGTGGAGAGGGACCCATAGTCCCGGGTGACAATCTGGCTTCCAGACTTACCACAGGCCCACAGGTCCACAGGCTTCCCGTACGGGTCCTTCCGCAGCACTTCTGGGGAGAGGTATCCAGGAGTCCCTGCGAACCCTGCTCCCCAGACACACAGACAGGCAGACACACACACAGAGGTTGGCACGTGAGTATCCTGGAGCAAGACCCTGCAGGAGAGGGGACGAGGATAGCCCTGGAGCTGGAGAGCACAGCCCTGCCCCAAAGCTGGGGGTGTACTGTGCAAAACCAGGGGTCTTGGTAAGCTGATGAGGTCTATATGCCTGACTAGACCAGACACGGATATACAGCACCTGCCTTCTACTCCCCATCCAGAGCCTCCGGTAGACGAGAGTAATCAATCACAGAGCTCCTTTTGCAGTCCCAACCTTCCCTGTAGCCATTACTTGCCACTTGCTGGTGGTCTCTAAGAGCTGATCCATTGTGCACATCCCACACCTTGCTCAAGGGCTGCTTATAAGATGACAGAGATTTGTTCTAACTCTGGCTAAGGGTGTGTGTGTGTGTGTGTGTGTGTGTGTGTGTGTGTGTGTGTGTGTGTGTGTGTTTACTTTCTAGGTCTTAGTCTCCTAATCTGTCAAAGATTAGCCAGTCTTACCTTTAATACCTCTCAATGCTGAGGAGATTGTTGGAATAATGAACAGCAACTTATCTTAACTAGATAGCTTAACTAGTCATCTCAGGAGTAGCTACTAGTTGCTGCAGAGGTTTGCTAAGCGTTGGCCTGGTCACCTCACATGCCTGCTATTGGTTACCATCTTGGATTCCCTGAGGGACATGCTACTATTCTCTTCTAAGAGATGAAGAAAACAACACTGGATTAAAACCACACACCGTGTAAGTAGCAGAGCCAGGATTTGAACCCAGAACTCTGGTTCTTATTTGGTTTTGTTTTATTTTAAGGCAGGGTCTCATATGTAGCCCAGGCTAGCTTTGAACTCCTGTTGTTCTGTTTCTGCCTTCCAGGTACTAGGATTAGAGGCAGGTGCCACCACAACCAGCCTGTGTTCTGGGTCTTAACCACTGGTCAATATTGCTTACTAAGAAGTACCCAGAGGGAGGAAATGTGCCCCATTATTTCCAGTCCTGAGGCATGCTGGGTTGTCTGTCTCGAGCACCAGGGGTCTGCACCTGTCAAGTTCTCCTGATCCAGGGGCCAGGGAAACCCTACAGAGTTCCTGGCAGCCTAGAAGTACATGCTCTCGCAAACGAGACATACCACCTGGTTAGCGATGGCCCTGTGCCCAGACCTACTCCTAAGGGAAAGAGGTAGGCACTTCCCACTGACCCGGAGGCTGACCGGGGGCAACCCTAGATGGCCAAACAGCCATCTCATCTCATCTTGAGCAGAGTGTTCCCAGGGGCACACATGTCACCCAAAGTATGCCCCTCCCTGCCACTCCACGCCCCACTCACCAAACCATGCCTGCTGCTCTCCCTCAACCTCTATGGCCAGGCCGAAGTCCGCCAGCTTCACAGCTGCACCCTTGAGTTTCGAGGCCAGCAACAGATTCTCAGGCTTCCCAGAACCAGGAAGGGAGAGAGGGAAGAGGGAACCAAGAGCTAGTCAGTAGGTTCAGAACCTCGCCTGCAGCCTGGGTATACAGGAAGAATGGCTGGATGGCCAGGGTCTCATCCCCTCCTACACTCCCAAATCCAGGATCCTGAGTTCCTGCTCCCTAGAGGGGGACTATGGCAAGACCCTCAGCTTTTGCAACAGAAAAATTCTTTCTCCCACAGCCTCCCCAGGATTGACAGCTGGGGCTGAGGAGAGTTGAGATGGCCCAGGGTGGCACAGCCCAGTCTCACTAAGAAGCCAGCAGCATCGTTTAATACCAGCACAGTGCTGTGGTCCACCGTCCCTCTCACCACTCACCCCAGGGACCTCAGGACATGTATTAGTCCTTGCTTCCCACAATGGCGGCTCTCATCCCTCAGAACAGTACTCTAGTCCCCAGCGTGGGGCCTGTGCTCCCTACATGGCTTACTCTCCTCCCAAATATCTCTGTTCTGCTCTCGGACTCACGTCTGCCCTCCAAAGAGCTCTCTCTCTCTCTCTGTCTCTGTCTCTGTCTCTGTCTCTGTCTCTCTCTCTGTCTCTGTGTCTCTCTCTCTGTCTCTGTGTCTCTCTCTCTGTCTCTGTCTCTCTGTCTCTGTCTCTCTGACTCTCTCTCTCTCTCTCTCTCCAGTCCACCCTAGCTCCTTTTGCTAGCTATGTGTTTTCGTGTGTATAAGATGGAGAAAATGGGGCTCTAAGGGACTATGTGACTCTGTCACAGCTGTTAAATGGTGGGTGTCAAGGCCAAGACTGACTCCATCTTAAAGACAACGGGGCTTGCGCGTGGGACCACAATTGACATGGGGGATGCCACCAGCTGACCTCTGGGGCATCAAGGCTGCTGCCTCTGGCTTAGATGCCCAAATCCTTCCACTTCTTGCGTCTTCCCACCCCCTAGAGACTCTGGACAAAGGGAAGCTAAGAGCATGGGTTCCACACTTTGTCTAGTGTTGCCACTGCTGTGATGAAACCCGGCCAAACGGTTTCCCTTCTCTGACGGTTGGCTTCCTTTCAGAGAAAAGGGACAGATGCCTGCCTTGCAGCTCCCTGTCTAGGTGTGTAAACAGCAGTGCTTTGGCTTCTGCTTTATGAGCAGCAGACCCCCCCCTGCTCAAACTTCCTGCTGGGGGCGGGGCTGAAGCCCGGTAGAGACAGCTGGCGCCTGCCTGCTCGGGCTCTTACCCTTTCCCCAGCAGGACTTCCAGGGGCTGCACCTGACCTTTCACAGTCCAAAGCTAGCATGGCACAAGGAAATAAGGCCCTTCACCTGGCTTGGTGAGGGCTCCTTTGTCCTCAGGGGCTGTGTTCCCAACATGTCCTGTGTCTCAGTAGTGTCCTGCCCTGATTTGACGAATGTACCACTAATTAGTGATTCCAGGGTGGCCTAAATCTGGGCCGTCTCTCAGCTCTCCTGCTTCCCCTTCCCGAGCAGGGTCTGTTACCATAACGAGAACAGACCCGTGGGGAAAGCCACCCTGCCCTGGGACTGAGACTTTGTTCCTGGGCCCACCTTTTTGTCACCAGGATAGAAGGAACTCGCCTGGGACCTCAAGGAGGGCCTGAGGTAGTAGGAAAGAAGTGTGGGACCTCTTGCGAGCACTGTGCCCTGAAAAAGGATGAGGACTGGCTGGTTGCTAACCAGGGAGGCTGTCTAGGCTCAGAAGGGCCTGGAGTCAATCCTGGTGGGATGGGAATGGGAAACCTGAGGAGGATTCCTCAATGGCCCCGGGGCTCCCAAGTCCTTTTGCATTCCAAACTGGGGCTGCAGGCAGTGTCCACAGTGAGTACAAGCAAGCATGTTCTCGCCAGGACTACCCCATAGGATGTGTGCGCAGTCCCTGATGACACCTGGCATGCTTGTCCCTAAGCTGCCGCTGCAGAAACTGAGTTGGATTAAGTAGCTTTCTGGACCTACACTGTGTGTGTGTGTGGGGGGGGGGGGTCACAGGCCCTGGGCTGAAAGCAAGCCAGGGATCCTGTCCTTGCTCAGACTCCACTGAAAGCATGTCCTTGACAAACTCCTTGAATTTTCTCTGTTTCCTGTTTTGTAAAATGAGGTTCTGTGAATTACTGACTGCTGATGCCATAAGGCTAACAGAGGGTATCCATGAGGTCCACACTTATTGGGCAAGGCCATGCCGCCCATGACAGTGCTAGACATGACAATGCTAGACTTCTTAGTGCTATCACTTTCCTTCAGGTGGGCGAAAGGGGCCACAGAGAGTCCCCAAACCCTGTCTTCTTCTCTTCTGCCTGACAGAGACCCAGGAGCAAGAGTAACAGGATGCCTTATCTCAGGGATTTTATGCTTTCATTTGACAGCCTCATCAATGGGACAGAGGTTGCCATGACAACCCTCTGTAGGGAAGCCAAGGCACCTGCAAGATAGTCCAGCCAAGGGCTTGGAAAGATGGCTCAGTGTTTAAGAGCATGGGCTGCTCTTCCAGAGGACTGGGGTTTGAGTCCTAGTGAGCACGTGGAAACTGCAACTCCAGTTCTAGGGGGTCCAATGCCCTCTTCTGGCCTCCATAGTCAGTCACCAGGCATGCATGTAGTGCACGCGCACGCGCGCGCGCGCACACACACACACACACACACACACACACACACACGATATAAATTCATATAGGCAGGCCAAACGCTCATATACATAAAATAAATAAACCTTAAAAAAAAAAAGGTCAAGTCTGATGCTCATCACGCAATTGCCTGCCTGGACAAACAGCATGGGTCCTACCTCCCTGAACTCAGTTTCCTGACCTGACAGCCTGGACAGCTGGAAAACACAGCCACCCACCTCAAGGTGGAGCAATGAAAGGAATTCGGGGAATGCAGAGCAGAAGGCCTGGGCTGAGTTACTGAGTTCCTTCCCCAGGCCGCAGATGGAAGGAATCCGGGTGGTACCCGTTATGGGGGCAGGAGGAGAAGGCAGAGGCAAGGGGCCCGGCTTCTCCAGGGTTACTCACCTTCAGGTCTCGGTGCACCACCCCCATCTGGTGACAGTGCAGCACGGCCTCCAGGATCTGCTGGATACAGTGACTGGAGAGAAAGGGGAGGGGTCAGACCCCTGGGGAAGCTGGCTGCGGGCACCGGTACCCCTCCCCAGGAACCTCTGCTGGGCTGCACCCGATACTCACCTGGCATCGGCCTCACTGTAGTACTCCCTGGCCACGATGTCCTCAAACAGCTCCCCACCAGTGACCCTGGGGAGACAGGGATGGAGTCACCCACTGAGACTCCAGGTGCCACCTGGCCTGGATGAATCTTCTGGAAATCATCTGAGAAGGTCAGGGCCAGGGACCTTAGACTCTCGGCCACCCAGTTCCTGTCTTCTGGCATAACCTGCTTTCTCTGGTACCTTTCCCTCCTCTCACTGGGTCCAGACTGGTGGGGACAGTAGCTCAGAAGCAGCCATTGGGTCCATGAGGTTCCTGGAAGCCCACGGGCCATTTGGTTTTGCTTAGCTTATTTTTCACTTTTCTGTTTATTTTTAAATCACTTTTATTTTTTTTAAGTGAGTGGAAGCTATGGAGATTTCTCGTGTGCTCCTGTCCCCACCATGTGCTGCCCCCCCCCCCCGCTCTTTTCCACATCACTGTGTTTTACAGACCAGGCCAGCATCCTCACTGATTGCCACTGCCCACCCAGAACAACTGAAGACTGTCATTTTGTTCCTGCTTTGACAAACCAGATTTCAAAGCGCAACTTGATATCACCGCCATGAACGGCAAGGCAGCATCACTGGCCACAAATAGAAAAGCAAAAATAAACTGATGATGCTGGTCGACTGTGTCTGGTGTTTGAAACAGAAAGAGCGGCTTGCACAGCTTGGGTAGCAAGCAGCCTGCCACATTTAGGGGAACTCTGCACAGCCTAAGAGCGTTTAGACCAAGTCCATAAGGGTCACCCCTGCCTAGGCCCCCTTCTCCCGTGGCACATTGGGGTGTGTGTGAAAAAGACTCACAGATCGAAGATAAGGTAGTGGTGTCCCTCCTCAGAGATGCTGTCATGGAGCCGGACTGTGGGCAGGACCGAACAGCTGGTTACACAGTGGTTCACTGGTCTCCACCCCCTCTGTCCTGGAGTCACCACCTCAGCCCTCAGTCCCTGAGCACAAACTTTGACGGGAGCAAGTGGAATGGGCTCACCGCACCAAGACCTCCAACATTACTGAGAGGGGACTAGGTGTAAGGACTGAGGACCTCTGTGTGTCAGCTTGAGCCCTCTCCCCGTTCAAACCCTCGAGTTTGTTGCTGGGCAAGCCAGAGCAGTACGAGAGCCTACAGCGCCAGTCTCTGCCACAGCTGCCTGTTCGACGGTGGGCGGGCAGGTTGCTATGCCTTTCTGAACCTCTTTCCCCCTCATTCAGACTTTGCTAACTTGTTCCAGGAGGCGCACAGCTGAACCCCTCAGTGCTGGCCCTGTACTGACATCCCGACTCTGCTGGCAGTCTGGGAGACAATAGTGTTCCCAGGGCTGACGTGAAAGAGACAGCGGTTGGTTCCTGAACCCTGATGGCTGCAAATTTGTCATCTCTTCACATCTCATTTACCAGGAACAGAGGCAAGGTTCCCAGGAGCCCAGAGCTCCCTAAATTGCCCAGCTTTTAAAAGAAGGGTCTGTGGCCTAGGACTGACTCTGGAGGCTACATCCTGTCAGCCAAGGACCAGTTCTCCCAAGCTAGGGTACCCATCCTTCTCTGTGTCATAGCCGGGCAGTGTAAGGGAGGGGTGGCGGTGGTGGGCAGGGCTTGGCTGGGACAATTAGGATCCTCCTGCACAATAGAAGCCGCACAGCTGTTGGAATGATTCGGAAGTTCACCCGCTGGTTTGGAATCTTCTCCAAATTATGTCATTTGGTGAAAAGGCAAAGTGTAAAGCCGTGGGGTTCCTTCTAAGAAGATGCTTGAGCTTAAGTCCCATGCAAGTCTGTCTGGGAAGATGGATAGAAGTGGGCAGCAGGGTTGTAGGCTCCCTTCTCCCTGGAAACCATAGCTAGCATTTCTGGTGCTAATGGCCTTGAGCTGCAACTCAGTCTGGAGCCTTTGAGTGGCTCATGGCTCTCAAGTCGTGCGTAAACTTGGTGGACTGAGAGGCAATTCCTGAGCGGACGCCCCAGGGGACAGCAGATGGTCACCAGGGATAGAAAATGAAGAGGCGGGGGTGGTTTGCACAGAAATGAAAACGGTAAGGCCGTCCCCCTTTTTATAGTAGCTCTGGGATTTAACAGAGTGAAGGAAGTGCTCTACCACTGAGCTGCATCCCCAGACCTTGGTCTGTTGCTGTTTGTGTTGTTAGTCTGTTTTTAGGAAAGGTTTCCTTGCGTAGCTCAGGCTAGCCTCAAACTCACAATCCTCCCACCTCCTAAATTCTGGAATTACAAGTGTGTCATGTGCCTGAAATGTTAAGGCAAATGTGAAGTATACATCCTTTTTTAGAGTTTTGTTTTTGTTTTTATGTGTGTGTGTGTGTGTGTGTGTGTGTGTGTGTGTGTGAGAGAGAGAGAGAGAGAGAGAGAGAGAGAGAGAGAGAGAGAGAGAGAGAGAGAGAGCACCTGTGTACGTACACATGAGTGCAGGTGCCAGCGGAAGCCAGAAGGCCTCAGGTCCCCTGGAACTGGAGTTTCAGGTGGTTGTGAGTCACCTGATGAGGATGTTGGGAACCTGAGCCAGTTCCTCTGCAAGAGCAGTTAAGGGTTCTTAAATCACTGAGCCATCTCGCCAGCTCACGAAAGCATTCTTAGCTGCTGATAAGCTGTCATAGCTTTGGGTATGAAGTGTCTCCCAAGAAGGCTCATGCGTTAAAGACTTGATCTCCAGTAAGCAGTGCTCTGAGGAGTGATTGGATCATGGGGATACTAACTTCTCTCATTTGGTGTGTGCTTCCTCTGAGGGGTTTAGAGCCAAATGGGCTGTCAGCAGGTAGAGCACGATTCGTGAATATCTTCAACTTCTCTTCCCCATCCCCAACTACTCACTGAACTCTGGGGTTGTGAGTAGCCCCATCAAGGTTTTCCACACTCTGGCATGAGCATGGACTTCTGGGGTCTGTCCATCACCAAGTGGTGATGGCACCACCCCCACCCAGGCAGGAACAGAGGGGTAAAAGGTCTGCAGACACAGCGGGATCAGACTGTGCTGAGATCCTCACACTCATGCCCTTGGACAGGGCAGTGGACACAAGCAGGTAACAGCCCATTCACCTTTCCTGAACTTGCCAAGCAGGCTAAGATCTCGTGAGGTTTCTCCAAGCATGATGTCCTCTGGGCTCCTGCATCACATCTATATATGTTAGGTTTCTCTGGCAAGGTCATGCCAGCTTGGGGTGACCTGTTGGGCAAGGTCGAGGCCTTCCAGCTCCCCAGCTGGGTCATGGCTTCTTCTCTGAGATTCATCTGGCTACATGCTCAACTCTGCTCCCCACAAGTAGCCATATCTACTCCAGCCCATTCCCACCCTCATTTCTCCCGACAGCCTCAACACCTAGAAGAGGTCTGGACATGTGGTCTAGCCTCCAGCAAACTTGACATTGCGTGAACAAGGAGCAAACAGCTCCATGGAAACAGTGGGGAAGGTGGTGACTCATTTCTGGGCTCTTGCAGCTCAGTATGTCAGAGGGTCTTCCCGTGTCCATGGTGTAGAGCAACGGTGGCTGTGTGGGGTCACAGGTAAAAGTTCTCTCCTGGGGATGTCATGCCGCAAAAGTGGGCGGGCTGAGCCGTGCAAAGCACATTCATTCTGTCATTGCACTAGGCCCTGTTGAAATACCACACCCGGCAAGGCAGGGACAAGTCTGCATTTCCAGAAAAGTCTGCATTTCAGAGTGGTGAGGCAATGTGTCTAGGGTGGGTCACACAATAACAAATAGTGTCTGAGCTGCAGATTGTTACCCACGGCCCGGAGCGCGAGGGGGAGAGGCGTAGACAGGAGCACTGAGTTCAGATAGATCAGCTGTAGTGCATGAACCCATCTAGATATGTGTGTCTGGGCACATCACACACACACAACCGGATACCACATACAGACACCACACACACTCACAGATACCACACATAGACACACGCACATACAAAGACATTTAGATACATGTGTGTGTACATCACACACATACACGGATATCACGTGTAGACACTACACATACACAGAGATACCACACTAGACACACACTCATACAGATACACACCACACACACACATAAAGAGACAAACACACAGAGAAACATACACACATAGACACTACACACAAACACACGCACAAATAGAGACACAGACACCACACACACACACACACACACACACATCAGCATGTTTATGGCACTTCCCCTCCTCCCAAACTGACAGCCTCTATGAGAACATGGGGTTTCTGTCAGAGCTCTCTGAAACCATCCATCAGCAGTGAGGATGTCGGGGGGGGGGGGGAACCAGGTGAGCAGAACAGGACCCAGCTAGAGCCTTCCTCCAGCTGTGGCCTTTGGCCTCTTATCTGCTACTGGCCTGCCTCTGGCTGCTGTGCAGGGGAGGGGAGGGACCTCTGGTATAAATAGCAGATGGAGCATTCTCGCTGAGGAGAGTTAACCCTTCCTGCTCTGTGCAGGAGCCCCTCTTTGGGAGAAGGTACAGCTGTTGGAACAGCAACTTCCCCAGAGAATTCGAGGCAGATCACCTGAAAAACAAGGCCTGGGAATCAGCAGCTTAGCTTCCGCTCTGTGAGAAACTATGAGAACTTCGACACTCCAGCCCATCTCAGGCCGGTGGAAGCAGAAGCCGTCCTGACACAAGCAGAAGCCGCCCAGGAGACTAGACAAGGACGAGCACTGGTGAAAGTAACTCTGAGAGGGTGGCTTTCCTACCAGGGTCTCACAGGTGACAGAACAGGACCTAACGGTTCTGCTCCTCCCTGACTGACCCCGATTTGCAGGCAGTAAGGCAATGAAGTGTGTTTCAGGACCTTCCCGTGTCCTGCCATCACAGACAAAGCATCTCCAGAAGACTGGGCTCAGTCTGACTGTGGGGCAGGGGCCAAGCTCCTGGAAAGGCAAGAGGCAGGCAGGAGCGGAGCTCAGAAACGACACAGGGCCACAGGGCCAGGCTGACACTGCACATGGTGGGTGGGGGCGTGGGCCTTGCTGGTCAAGGCCAAACTTCCCCCTGGCCTATTTTCATCTTTCTTTTTCAGCTTCAAGAGCTTTCCTGAAACAGCTTTTCCGAAGGAGGCTGCTGGCAGCGTGGGAGGGGAGAAGGGTCCTTTTTTTCACCTTCCCCCGAAGCAAGCTGGTCCTGAGCAAGACGCCCCCTTTCCCATCTCCCTCCACAGCCTCCAACTCCAGAGAAGAAAGTGGCTGCTCCCCACCACCCCACCCTGTGCTGGGACCCCCTTACACTCCCAGGGCTTACCGATATTGGGGTGCTTCAACAAGCGGCAGATGCGGGCCTCTCGCTCCAGCTTCTGGTGATCTGAAATACAGATACCCACATAAATCCCGGAGAAGTTAGGCTCCCAACCTGCCTCTATTGTCCTTACCAGGGTGGCCTCAGGCACTGGAAAAAGTGGCCTATATACCAGGGTTTCTGAGTTCCCAGAAAGGACAAGTAGGTGGTGGGAACCTAGATGAGTCTCTCTCCCTCTGTAGGCCTCAGTATCCAGGGCTCTTCTGGAAGAGCCTTCTCCAGCCCCTTCTTGTATGATGAGGCCCAATCACCCTGAGGTCTGGAGCCCTGGTATACAACTCCCTGTAACTCCCACAGACCTGGTCTCAAACCCTAGCTTCAGGCAAATGAACTTCAGGGTTTGTCCTTCTTGGTTCCCCTCTGGGAGGCATCAGTTCACTCAGGAGGCATACCATACCACCAGCCATTACTGGATCCTACTGCCCCTTGATGTCATTGGTTTCTAGAAACCCACCCTGACTTTAAGCCTGTAGGGACCCTCCTCTGAGCTCCAGAGGGTCAGGCAGCATAGTCATGTCTTATAGAACCTACATCCTTAGACAGGGTCTCTGTTTTACCACCTACATCTGCTTGAATGCCTGGTACATGTTAATTATTCAAGAAATCACTGGATGGATGGATGGATGGATGGATGGATGGATGGATGGATGGATGGATGGATGAGGCAAGCTTCCTATGGTAGTTTTCTCTGGAAGAGCTGTACCCCAGCAGCCCCTCCATTTCATAGGACGCTGGAGCCCGGGACAGACATCTCCAAAGACTTACAGGGTAGAATTTGATGTGTCCCTCCCTTGGGGCTGGCCCAGAGCTGCATACCTGCCTGCCAGGACCTCTGTCTAAGACTCCCTGTCTCCCAGCCACCTGCAAGAGCTTGTGTAAGCTCTGCTGCCTGTGTGACTTCTGCCTCAGTCTGCTGGTACCTGCCACGGTGGTCTGTGGTGCCACCATCCCCATTTCACAGACAATGACATGTGGCCCAAGCCATGGGCAGTCTTGAGGCTGCGGTGGCCTTTGTGCTGTTCTTTCAGAGTTCAGTAGTTACTGCTTGAGCTAAGGAAACAAGACATCTAAAGAGAAATTGCTAGCAAATGCAGAACGGCGATTGAGTATCCTTTGTCTGAAAAGTTTAGAAAAGGGGACCAAAAGTATTTGAGACCTGGGGCTTTGGAATATCTTCATGTACATTATGAGTTATCTTGGAAAAGGGACTGCAGTCTAACCACAGAGTGTATGTATGTGAAACATACATACATACATTTGCTCTAAGGGTAATTTGACTGCAATACATGCGCTGCTAAAGTCAACACCTAAGGTAATTTTATATAACATTTTTCATGCTGTTGTGCATAAAACCCAGTTTTTCCTGGTGTGGAATGTTTCACTGGCTGCGTTACATCCATCCTCAGAGTTTGGATTTTCTAGTTGGAGACTCTCAACCTGTATTTACTTGATGCCAGTCACAGGGCAAAACATCTGCGTACCTTTCAAGCACTACTTAGGGGATGCTGTCATTTTTCTGACTTCACAGAGGAAGGAGGAGTCAAGGATCCTGTAGGCAGTGTGACTGGAGCTGGGCTTTAAGGTCTATGTTGTAAAGTTCTCTGGACCCTAGTCAGAACCACAACTCCCACCTGCCTGGTCACAACGGGAAGTTAGAGCCCATAGAAGGACACTCATGCTACAGTCCAAAGCTAACCCACGACTAAACCCTCACCCACCACAGGATGGCCCCTCCAGAGCGGGGATGGCAAGGATGGAGAAAGCCCTTCTTTCCCCTGCTCGCTCCACTGAATCAATTGCTGGCTGCCCTCTGTGGACTGCAGAAGCCAAGATCAATGCTTAAATGTGGCTTTAACAACGGCAAAGCCATTAAGTTCAATTCTGATTTGACAGGCTCAGCGCCCCAGCTGAAAACCTGCTGCAGGTTGCAGGGAGTGGCGATGGGAGCAAGGCTAGATTAGCTTGACACACCCTTCTCCCCCTTCCCCTCCAGCCTCCTTCAACACCATCAGGCATGGGGTTCTGGTTCCTGCAGAGGAGGGGACCCCGACCACGCCCCTTCTCCACATACAGAACCAGAGGCAAGGTCTGGCCTGTCAGAAGGAATGGGATCTTCCGGCCCAGGCAACACACTCCAAGGGATAGAGCGCTGTCTACGTCTGGAATCGTGCCGTGTCCTGCACATGAGGTGACTCAGGAATGCAGTCCCCACTGACAAACTATACAGGGGGTGGGGCAAGACACTGGTGACAAACTCTGGTTACCAGACCTCCCTGCTGGAGCTGCTGCATCCTTGATGGAGACTTTCCCTGTTAGCCACACCCATCTGCTGCGTGGGAACAGGACGTTTGACAGGATTTCCTAGCCCTGTTTGTAAAGTTTTCATTTGCTAATGCACCATGTGTTACAGGGCCGATTCTCTCGACTGTTCTTGCTTTGGGTATGGGAAAAGAAAGTGAGGCCTGGCAATAAAAGGATGGTTCCTGTCCCTTCTCCAGTGTCACTGGTCAAGGCAGCCACGCCCTTTCAGAACTTAGGGTTACGAGGACTTCACTTCTACGCTGATCAAGTCTCCATCCTAGCTGTTTGTCTCTGGCGGCCAAGGCTGTGTGTGTGTGTGTGTGTGTGTGTGTGTGTGTGTGTGTGTGTGTGTGTGTGAATAAGTCACTTTTGGGTGTCCAACAGGCTAACAGCTTCCCAACATGTTTATCCTACAACCCAGGCCCTAGCTATCACCTTAGCTACAAAGCCCAGTCTTATTCCCCTATTTCTGGCCTTGCGTATACCATGCTTCTTTTCTTTTTTTCCCATTTGTTTGGTTTGGTTTTGTTTCTTTGCTTGTTTTACAAGACAGGGTTTCTGACTGTCCTGGAACTCCCTCTGTAGACCAGGATGGCCTCGAACTCACAGAGATCTGTTTGCCTCTGCCTCCCGAGTGCTAGGATTAAAGGCATGTGCCACCACCGCCCGGCTGTACCATGCTTCTTATATTAGGACCTTTGGTTTGCTGTGTCCTCTTCCTAGAGTGTTCCTCCTCCTCAGACAGATCCCAGCACAAAATCACTTCCCCAGAGAGCTTCCCCAGCTGTCTTTTCTAAGAGTGTCCCTCTGCCTGTCACTTCTCCTTCGCCAGATCTGACCTTTCTCTCTATGCTACAGTCCTGGCTGTCCTAGAACTCACTGTATAGACCAGGCTGGTCTCGAACTCAAAAGTGTGTGCCGCCATACCAGTCTGATTTTCTTAACACTCCTCAGTTCTTCACTCTACCTAGTTCGTAGGTGTGTTTCATGTCTCACTCCCAGGAAAACAGGCCCCGTGGGAACACAACCTTGTCCACTGGTTACTGCCAAGTTCCAGGAGCCTAGCGTGCAGCTTCTGAGAGGCTCGTCCAAACTCCTAGCCCAGGCAAGTGGCATAGCTGCATGTCAGTTCCTGCTGATAAATGCACTGATAATCAATTAGTGCGCGACTCAGTCCCAGCCCACATCCAAGGAAGTTCAGAGTTTCCACACCCTGCCTGGTACCTGAGAACATGGCCCCTAATACACACGATGGCACCTTGGGGACATTCATCCCACTCTGGTTGGGACATCCTCAGAGTATGGAGGCCAAATTGGAGAGAGTCTAGTCCCAGGAGCCAGACAATCCCAGCAGGGCCAGGCAGGACCAGAGCCATACAAGCACAAGGGATACAGAGAGGCTGGGCTCCTGCAACCAGGTTTGTAGCAGGAGAGATCATGAGTGTGGGAGGGCACTGGGAGATACGAGAGAAGACCAGAGGGGCCAGGAGACTGAAGGGAAGACAGGCTCGTGAACCCCAAAGCCTCCTGAGAGCACTTTCATAGGGGTCCCAAGGAAGCTCAGAGATAGCTCATGAGCCTGTGACATGAGTCTGTGCCTAGAGCCTGAGAAGATCACCCCCTGACCACTGACTGCACCAACCACATCTTTGTGCCCGGATTCCCCAGGAGGTCCGTAGAGCACCTGGCAGGGCCTAGCCCAGAGCGTGTGGCTGCCATCAACATGCCAAAGCTTTTGCTGTCCAAGAGCCTCACTGAGACAATCAGCCCGGGGTGAAGCTCAGGCAATTGCATTTTGCTTTTAAGACCGGAATTGGGGAGCAGCAGGGATGTGAACAGGCGAAATTTTCATGTTTCATTTTATTTGCTTGTGGTTCCTTTGAGTGACACTATGAAGGTTTTGTTCTTAAGAACTGCTTGCTAGAAGAGGCCATGTGGGGTGTGCTAGGGGAAGCCACAGCTTGCTGGGAGGGGTGAATAGAAGCCCTGGGTGGGTCCGGCTCCTGCTGGGAGCTGCAGGAAGTCACCCCAAAGAGCCAGCAGGAGAAGTTTAGAGAACAGTGCCAAATGTGACAGCTTTAAAGCCCCCTGTGGAGGTGAGTGACACACAGAGACCTGCTAAAGGAATCTCTGCTCTCCGCCCTGCTTCCCTTCTCACTTGCTCCGCTGCTCTTAGCCTAGGCAGGGTTACTTCCCTCCTAGGAGGTCAAGGTCACCAGACAGAAGAAGGCCTAGGTAGCAGCTGCCTGACACAAACAGCGAGAGCCTTCACTGTCCAGGGTGTGTGGTCACCTTCCCAGACAGTAGTGATGGCCTCTGTCTCTGTGTGTGCGCGCCCTGAGATGGTGGTGAACCTACCCAAGAACCCCAGCATCTAACACGATGCTCGCTTCTAATCTTCCTTCCTGATGCTCCTCCTGAGGGCAAAACTCCACCTGTCGTTACTCTAGCCCAGGGTTCTCAACCTGCGGGTGGTGACCCCTTTCCTGGGGGCTGCCTAAGACCATCAGAAAACACAGATCTTTACATTGCGATCCATAACAGTAGCAAAATCACAGATTGAGCTGGCAATGAAAGTGACTATGGTTGGGGAGTCACGAGGAACTGTATTAAAGGGTCTCAGCATTAGGAAGGGTGAGAGTCACTTCTCTAGGCCTGCCTCCAGCATCTCAGTTCCCCGAGGAACTGTATTAAAGGGTCTCAGCATTAGGAAGGGTGAGCCACTGCTCGGCCTGTCTCCAGCATCTCAGGAACTGAGGTACAATGAGGCACATAGCAACAGGGTTGCTCCAGGCCTGCCAACAGGAGGCAGCACTCTAGTCGGACTTCCTGTCCACGTGGTTCCTTGCCTCTGGCTCTGACTCCAGACTTTCTTGCAGGCCTGGACTTTTTACACTAGTCATGCTAGCTGGGGGCCCTCAGAGCCTCTCCTCCTTGCAGGATGCTGAAAAGTAGGTAAATAGAGCGTTGTGGGCCAGACAACAGAGTTGGAAACAAAAGGCAGCAACCGTGTGCCATCCAGGGCTTGCTGGGAGGCCCACAGAGAGCAGCGTGAACGCCCTGTACAGAGAGCAGCGTGAACGCCCTGTACAGCATCTACAGGACCTTCATAAGCCCTTCACCTGCTGGGCCCTCATCCTGACACAGTTATAGCTTACTAAACACCGTACCTCACTCATGTGAGTCTCTAACCTCCACACCCAACCGAATTCTCCTCACACCAGTCTTCAAGGCATCTATTTGGGGTGGATGTTGGCTTGCCAGTACACCCACTCCTGTCCTAAACACACAGGAATGACCTGGACTCTTCTGGGCAGAGTTCTCAAACTCCAGCAATCCTGGCCATCTTACTAAGATACAAATTGAACTGTTTTAGGCCTGAATGGGGGCTCTCTCCCAGGGAAGGCTGCTGCTACTGGCCATGATCATTCTAAGGTTTGGGGGACAATGCTCTACCTGAAGGTAGAATTATCTGGATATCCTTTTCAAAAGCAGGCCACACCTGTGCAAAACCCTGTGCGGTAGGAACAGAGCCACAGACAGGTCCCTCTGACAGCTCAGAGGCCTGGTGAGGGCGCTGTCCTGGGTGCTGAGCACAGAGCAGGGGCTGAGTTCTGTCTACTCTGTTGGGGCTCACAGTCACCGTGAACCAGGGACTAAACAAGGAGCCAAACGGTGAGCAGGAGGAAGTGAGTCAGGGCAAGCTACGTGGAAATCAAAAAGAGTGGAAAGAGAAAAGTTGAGATGGAGCCCATGTGACTGCTCTCGGGGTGTGACCCTGAGTAGACACCTGGAAAGAGAAAAGGGGGCTGTCCACAGAAGGAGCCTGGCTGAACACTCTAGCAGAGGCTGGGAAGCAAGGCAGGAAGGGCATGGCGGAGGAGAGGGGAGGGGGAGTACCGTTGAGGGCTTGACCTATCTGGGGGACACTGTAATCTCTAGCCTGGGTTCCCTGAGGAAGGAAAGGGAGGGGTCTATTCCCTTAGAAGGAAGAGCCTCCTCGTCTGCCAACAGTGTCTCCCAGAGGTCAAGCGTGGGATTCGGGTCTAGGGCAAGAATGATGGCAGCGTAGAAAGTTGGCAGCGGGCAGGCGGCCCAGAGCCTACCTCTGGCTGAGAGCTTCTTGGTGTTGATGATCTTGGCAGCATACTCCTGGCCAGCCAGCACCTTCACGCACCTGCGCACCACGGAGAAAGCTCCCCTGGAGGGCAGAGAACAAGACACAGTGAGAGCTGTGTCCCCGGGCTACCAAGAACTCCTGCAGCTGTACCACAGAAAGGGAGGCGGCCTTCATTGGAGCCACCTGTGTCACAAGAGCTACAGGGCCTGGCTTAGGGCAGCAGAGGTCAGAGAGATCCAGAGAGGACCCTAGATCCTTGGCCTCATGCAAAAGGAGCCTCTGGATCTGTAGAAGTTAGATCACCAAGTTATAAAACGTTAGAAGCCCGGGGTGAGAGCCACAGAATCTGGGTCTCTGGGAATCTTTAGAGCTTTGTTCTTGGAACAAGTAATACATCACACAGCTCCGGGTTCAAAGGAGGTAAATACGTAGACCCTGAAATGTCCTGCCTCCACCAGCCTGCGAGTGAGGGGTGCTCTCTCGCTACCATGGCCTCTGTTGCCGGGGCCTGGAGTCCCTCCTTGCTGATCCTCCCCTCACAGACAGCACCAGGTAGGTGTGTGTTTGCTCCTTTCTGCAGTTAGCTTCGTTTTTCCTTTGAGATGGGGTCTGACCGTGTAACCCTGGCTGACCGGGAACTCAGATCCACTGGTCTCTGACTCCCAAGTGCTGGGATTAAAGTCGTGCACCACCACACTCAATAAGGTTGATGTATTTTGAAGGCCCTCTTTCATAGAAAGCTCTTTGTTACATAACGCGTAACTATATGACTGTCCTATAGCCTAGTGGCCTGGCCAGTTTCCTCATTGAAGTCCCCTACTGAAAGGCAGCTGAGCTAGGTTCAGTCTCTAGCTATTAGAAACAACATTCTAATGACCTTGTATGTGTGCATTAGAATTATGTTAACCTTAGCACCCTCAAGACAGAGGCAAGCAGCTCTCTCTCTCTCTCTCTCTCTCTCTCTCTCTCTCTCTCTCTCTCTCTCTCAGAGTTCAGTGCCAGTGGTATACCTTGTGTGTTCCAGGATAGCCAGGGCTACATAGAGAGACCCTGTGACACAAAACAAAAATAAACAAAACAACTTAATTTCCTGTGTGTGCCTGAGTCTATTGGATAAGGCCCATGTGCTAATGTTTTTTGGTTGGGTGGTGGCAGGCAGGTGGCATTTGGCAATTTGGATTGATAATGAAGCTATATGAACTTACTTTCCCACATGTTATGGGTTGACTCTGAATGTCCCCACAGACCATTGTTTTGATTCTCTGCTCCCCAGCCGCTGGCACTGTCTGGGGAGGCTGTGGAACACTTGGGAAGTGAGGTGTGGTTGGCAGAAGCAGGGCTCTGGGGCCCAGCCTCAGGAGGGTCCACCTAACTAACCCTGGATGCAGCCTTGCTCTCTGCTCCTCCTCTTTCTCTTTTTATTTATTTTTGGAGACAGGGTTTCTCTGGAACTCACTCTGTAGATCAGGTTGGCTTTGAACTCACAGAGACCCACCTGCTTCTACCTCCCTAGTGCTGGGATTAAAGGCGTGCACCACCACTCCGGGCTGTTCTCTGCTTCTTGATCTGTCATGATGCGAACAGACTATCATGTGCTGCTACTTCCACGAACTAAGCCACTCTGCCACGTCTGCCTGCTTGGTCACAGAGCACTGAAACTGCAGACCAAGTAAATCTTTCCCCCTGGCACTGCTTCTATCAGGCAATTTTGTCACAGACACACCAGAAAAAATCACACACACACACACACACACACACACACACATACACACACACACACGGGGGGGCGGGAGTGGGGGGAGTGGACCGATTTTCTCTGCCTTTGTCAACATGGTATGTTACTAAGCTTTTCTTTTTGTATATGCTGGTAAGAGGGAATGGCAATTTGGTACAGATTCAGGTGTGTGTGTGTGTGTGTGTGTGTGTGTGTGTGGTGCATGCACAGGAGTGTGCTGGCATGTGTGCTCATGTAAGCACTGTGGAGGCCAGAGCAGCATGTCAGATATCTTCCTCTACCCCTCTTTGCCTTATTGCCTTGAGATACGGTCTTTCACTGAACCAGGAGCTAGCCATCTCAGCTAAGCTGGAAGCTGTCCATCAAATTCCCAGGATGCTCCTGTTTCTGTGCCCCCAGTGCTGGGACTAAAAGCGTATGCAGCCGTGTTTGGCTCCTTATTTCAAAAGAGTTTGAGCATAGAACTGAGGAAAACTAGGTGGAGGGCTGGATCTGAGCTCGAGCTACCGTTTTTGCACTTCATGAAGGACATCTTGTCAACCCGACACACCACCTTGGAAGAGACTTCTAAGGGGCATTGCATCATCACTGTCCTCACACAAATGACAGCCTGAGAAGACTTCTCGGATGCGAGTGTGCTGCTATTGTATGAATCATCCAGACACAGTGCAAAAATCATAGTTCAGAGGCCTCGTGTGTTGAGTGGGGATCAAGACGCTGAGCTCCGGTGTCTTGATCTTCTGGGTTCCTAACACCTATACTGAGTACCACTCCAGTTTTCTGTTGACTGTACTGAGTTCCCAATGGCCCCCCAACTTCCCCCGCACACCTAAGTGAGGGCATGTCCAAGCCACAAGATGCTTAGATGATTCCTATGAACCCTATTATCTGAAAATCTGGGCCATAGTCTCTCTTCTTGCCATTAACATGCGAAGCAGGAGAAATTGTTAGTGGACTCCAAGGAAGCACAAACTCCAAATGAGCACACCCTAGCTGCTCAACACGGGGGAGTGAGAAGCAAGTGGGTGGGAAGGGACAAGGAGGAAAAGAATGGCCAGAATCACATGTACACTGAAGGCCTTGCACGCAATATGCCTTCCCTGGGATGTTGCATTCCACCTGCTTTTCACCAATACGAAAGCAGAGAGACCCCACTCACCTCCCTGACACACTGCCTCTTCTACAGGGTCTTCACTGTACTCCATGAAGCCCCTGGATAGTAAAGGTCACCTGCTATTAGCCACCCCCACACACACACAATACTGGCCACCAAATAAAGGCGGCTTCTTTAATGCCAACCGGTCCTCCTGCTGTCTGCATCCCCATCATCTTGCAAGTCAGTCATGATGCCCTCTAGAGTTAGGGCAGATCTAGAGGTTAAGGGCTCCATTCTACAACACCATGCCCTCACTTCAGGAGCCAACTGTGGGAAGTGGTTCCCCGGGTTGCCCACACTCCTGTCCAACTTTGATAACAACTGGAAGTTCTTACTGCTGTTTCTCAGATTGAAGGATGTTCTATGCTAGCTTAGAGAGCTCAGGGAAGCACGTTTGCCCATTCGTTATACAATGTAAGGCATGGCGAAGAATACAGATGAGCAGCTGGGTGGAGGAGCAGAGGCCAAAGTCTGGGAGATTGGAGCTCAGCTCCACTCCCGCCCACCCCTGGGGCTGAAATGTGGCACTCTGCTGCCCCTTGGAAGTGTTCCCCATCCCAGAAGGTGTCCTGGCCCCCCATGTAAGGTCTCTGTGGGGGCTTCATCATGTGACTGTGACCAGTCACTAATTTGATTTCCAGCCCTCTCGTCTCCCTGGAGAATGAAGAATGAGGCTGAAGATTCCAAGCATCCAATCAGTGCTTGGTTTTTCTGGTGGCCACCTCCATACAGAAACCCACAATTAGTCACCCCATAAGAGCCAAAGATGTTCCTAGCACCTGGAAATCCCAGGAGAATTAAGAGTTTTGTGCTGAGAACTGGGGTCAAAGACCAAATAGGAGAACAAAAAAATACTCCATTCACCCCGATTACCCAGGAAACCGCAAGAGCTTTAGGAGCCCTGCACCAAAAGCCAGGCTAAAAGGATAAATGTGTATTATATTCCACCAGTCTTCGGATCCCACCCCACCCCTGACCTGGCACTTGTGGGACCTACTTACCCACTTTCTTGTCTTTCCCACCCAACTAATGAGTTCCTGTGTCTAGCACTTGGTAACTAGCACTCAGCATCTGGAACCTAGCATCTAACACTTGGTACCCAGTGTCAAATACCACCACCCAGAACCTCCATGAACAAATCCTGCAAGATCAGGCAGTGACTTTAAACACCAGTGAAGGGAACAGAAAGGAGGCAGGAAGGAGAATTTCAGTTGGGGACAGAAATAGGCATTTGAAGACAAGGAGACAACTGATATTTCAGAGGCATCCATCTTGCCTAGGTAGTGGAATGGGCCTGAAAGCCATGATTGGGTTCCTGCCCAGCTAGAGACCTTTATCACCATGAGGCCTTAAAGGGAAGTGTTTTGGTGGCCTCATCTGGGAAGGGTTCTGAGCTGCCTAGAGACTGTAGGGCCTGGCACCTGGACCACGGTGTATTCACAGCTAGAACTCCATTAGTGTGAGTCAGGTGGATGCAATCGATTGCAACATTGAAACACACACGCACACACACACACACACACACACACACACACACACGGACAGAGAGAGAGAGATGCGGGGGAGGGAATTTAACTCTCCTCGTCAGGCAGTTATTTCCTGTCCTATTTCATATTCCACCTCCTGGAATCAACATTGATCGGAAGCTTCACGGTGCTCAAGGAGCAGGAGCCTAGGAGCCACATCGACTGAGCAAGAAAAGCCTCTCTCATGGAACAAGAACAGCTCAGCACACAGGGATGCTGAGTTCCTGAAGGACGTCCTGAACATGTTGCCCGTAGGCAGAGAGGCATAGCCTTCCTCGGTTACTCAGAGGAGGAATTTCTCAAGTGAGGACCCAGCTCCTGACCCCAGGATAACAGATACTCTCAAGCCCGGGTACTGCTAGACTCCTCTTGATCCCACAGCAACCTGAAGACGTCAGAATTATGAGCTCTGCTTCACAGATCCAGAAACTGCAGCCCCAAGTGAGAAGGAATATTTCTAGGGAGTCGGGGAAGAGAACGCAGGGCACTTAAGCCTTTCCTCCTAGCTCCACTAAAGGCAGGAGATTGAAGTTGCCATGAGCTGGGGCTCTAGCTCACAGAGTCTCACCCAGGCTGTCCCCTGATGACCCTGTGACTCTGAACTTCCCCTCTGATCCTCCTTCTCCCCTAAAGAGGGCAGTGGCAGCACCATTCTGGGCGCTCC